TTTCCCAGTTCATTTTTTATGTTTTGCAACAGAAACAGGAAATGTTTGATGTGAGGCATCTTTAAGACTTACTGTGACATCGAGAAACTTTGCACATTCTTAACCTTAAAGGCACATTCTTGGAATGACATTCGATAACTTTGCTCTTGGCTCCTCAGACAGGATGAAAAGAGTTTCCAGTGTGCATCAATTCATTGTTGAAGTGCTTTGACTAATCGCTTCAAGTTAAAAAAAAAAATCCCAAACCCTGCATCACATTCATTCTGGAGCAGACTGCATCCAGCTGCACTAGTGGCAAGCCAGAGGGCAGGATAAAGGACCCTTTACACACCCAGTGCTACCCAAGCAAAGCTGGTCCTGGTCCCTGAGCCCTCAGGATACCAGGGGCTTTCTTTTGAGCACCAGCCCAAATAGTCCCAAAGAAGCCGAAAGCCCAACAGCTCACAGAGGAGCTGGCAGTGCAGGTTGGGAAAAGGATGAAGGCTGCAAACCCAGAGGTACTGTACTCTTGGTATATCCCTTCTAGGCACTAGGGACATGGGAGAGGAAACCTCCCTCCCTGAGCAGATTTCCTCCTGAAGTTCTCTTCCACGCAGCTATTTGCACAAACTGATGCCTTGGGGTCACAGGTAATTCCCTGCTATTAGAAGTGAGCCTTGCAGAACAACAAAGGAGAGAAGAGCTTGGGGATAGTGGTAGATGAAAAATTGGATGTGAGCCGGCAATGTGCACTTGCAGCCCAGAAATCCAGCTTTGGGGTCCCCAGGACAGAAAAAGGCATGGACCTTCTACAGTGGATCCAGAGAAGGGCCATGAAAATGGTCAGAGGGATGGAACACCTCTCCTGTGAAGGAAGTCTGAGAGAGATGGGGCTGTTCAGCCTGGAGAAGAGCAGCATCCAGGGACATATTTTTGCAGCCTTTCAATATAAGAAGGGGTTTATAAGAAAGACAAAGAAAGCCTTTTTACCATGGTCTGTAGTGATAGGATGAGTGGTAATGGTTTTAAACTAAAAGAGTGTAAATTTACATTGGGTATTGGGAAGAAATTCTTTACTGTGAGGGTGCCTGGAGAAGTTGTGGTTACCCCATCCCTAGAAGTGTTCAAAGCTGGATTGGATGGGCCTCTGAGCAACTTTCTGACTCAGTGGAAGGTGTTCCTGCCCATGGCCAGGGGTTTGGAACTAGGTGGTCTTGACGGTCCCTTCCAACCCAAACAATTCTGTGATGCTATGGTTCTATGAATCCCATGTATAATGGCACTGACAAGGCTAAGTTGTCTGAACCTCTGTATAAGACTCAAGTGCCCTTAAGCTGACAGAGATGTGCACTGGCTTGCCTATACAAGGTTCAGAAGCATCATAACATTTTGGCTATGCTTGCTAACACAGAGCAAATGGGGTAGTGCTGGATTCAGCCCAAGCCAGTCTTATACACGACTTCTTGGCATCGTACTTCAACAGAAGTAAGGAAGAGGAAGGAGCAAGGATCACTACCTCAAACAGCCTAGTGCAGCCAAACTTCTTTTAACCTGCCTTTCCTGCTGAGTCCTTCTGCCTGAATATGTTTCCTTCCTGCAACCATTCCACACAGCTAATCTAACCTGGGAAATGCACTCCCTTAGAGAATATCTTGGGGGAACATCGATGGGGGAGACAGAGAGGGAAGCTGGCTGGAAAGGGATTGCATGGGTAGAGCAGGGCGCAGCAGTGATGAGGAAGAAAGGAGACGAGGCAGCACAGAGGACCAGAGCAAAAGCCCTTCCATCACCTTCAGTCTCTAGCTGGATCTCTGGGCAGGGGACAAGCACAGAGGCAAGCAGCTGAAGGCAACAGGCAGCCAAGAGTTATGAATCTGTGGATGTCTTTGTTGGCAAAGCTAAGAGTCTGCTGCATTTTTACAGAATCACAGAATATGCCAAGTTAGAAGGGACCCACAAGGATCATTGAGTCCAACCCTTAGCCCTGCGCAGGACCATCCCCAAGAGTCACACCATTCTTGAATTCTATCAAGCTTGGTGCTGTGACCACTTCTCTGGGGAGCCTGTTCCAGTGCCCAACCTGAGCGAAGAACCTCTTTCTAACCTAAACTTCCCTTGACACAACTTCAAGCCATTCCCTTCGGTCCTGTCACTGGTCATGAGAGTGAAGAGATCAGTGCCTGCCCCTCCTCTTCCCCTCACAAGGAAGCTGTAACTGCAGTGCCCTCTTCTCCAGGCTGAACAGACCAAGTGACCTCAGCCACTCCTCATACGGCTTCCCGTATTTTGTGCCAGATGCAACCATTTAAGGGCCTGTGATTTTGTTCCTAGGAATAGCATATCATAATAGACATGCAGTTCACTAAAGGACGTTTACATTTGCCTGAGCTCATTGGGGGTGAGCTCACTGACATATGGGATCCTCATACTTAGAGCTGAAAAAGGGATTGTTATCAGGTGAATGTATAAAATGTAGGCATTTAATCCAAGCTGGCTGTAACTAGTCCTTTTTATGGTCAAGTTAAACTCTTTTGTATTGTTGGTGGTGAAATGATTCACTGCTGTAAAGTTTCTTAGGTGGCTGCTGTTCGGACAGGATGCATTGTAGGCTTTAGAAAGAGGACAGGAAGAGCTGTTCTCTGCACAGGAGATCTGTAGGTCACCAAAGGTTACATTTTTAGTAAAGGACAAAAATGAAAGGCCAGATTCTGACTACTTCCTTGCTCCATCAGTGGTAATGCTACATCCACGTGTCTGGCCTTCTTTGCCCAAGTGATTGAGAAAAATTCTCTTTGAATGTATTGAATTTGAAATTTACATTTTAATAATGTAGATGCCAGATGTTTTCTTCTCTAGTTCTTACTCTGATGGAACTAGGAATGCTTCTTGCTGGGCATGTGCTGGATAGCGTAAGCTATGAAGAAAGTACTTCTGCTTACCCAAATCTCCCACTTACGCATGCAAACTCTAAGCCAAAAATTGAGAAAAGGGTTTGTATTATCTGGTGGTCATGGGGCTGTCAGGGGCTGGAAGTTGTTACATTCTTAACAAACAAGATTTCAGCCCAGTGTGTTTCCTTTCCAGGGGTGGAATGGTTCAGACCAGTGAGCAGTATGAATTTGTGCACCATGCACTGAGTCTGTATGAAAGCAGACTTTCTGCAGAAGCTGTCCAGTGAAGCCAAGGAGAGTAAAACCGAATGTCAGTCTCTTGAGGTAATTTGTTTCATTACCTACCAGCAGCTTCTTCAAGCAGTTTACTGCAGTGTGAAAGACGGCTTTGAGGCCAACTTCTGAAAGGATTGTGGACGGTTTGGCAAAAGTATGGAGATTGCTGGACCCTTACTATGTATGAATGTATTGTGAGCTTCCCAAAAATGATTTATAAAGAAGGTACTGTCCTGAAACTATACACGGATTTTGTGTATGTATCTAAAGGTGGGTTTAATTCTGTAATGCTGATTTCTGCCACATGGAATGTATGTATGTGCTACTGCTGCAGTCAGATGGACACTGGGACTTCTACAGAAGAAATGTTTAACAAGTGTATAAATGCTTCGACGTTTGCAAACTGTCTTGTGAATGGACTGTCAACCGTAATGTAAAGTGCTATTACTGATTATGTGGTGAGCTTGTTTCTTGGCCACATAATATTCTTGCTGCTAAAATTGCAAGTGTTCAGTTATGGATTTAAAAAAAGGTGAGATAATAAAAAAATTAAACATCTTGTTTTTGAAAATATTCAAAAGCAGTTAATATTTTGTATGGAAATATATGTTCTTCATACTGTTAACTATTAAATGTGTATTTGCTGTAGGTCTTACGGAGCAGTTGCAGAGCACAATGTCTGTTCTTCAGTGTGTTTGTATTTACCCTATATTGTTGACTGTCTTAGAACATGCTTCTGCTACAGACCAGAATCCAGTGTATTTGTAGATTGTGTAAGTCATTCTACTTTTAAAAGAAACTTTGTAGCATATATTAAATGGTAGGGATTTTAAATATTTGTCTGTCTTTTATTAATACAGAAATTTTTGCATATGTTGTTTATCTGCTCTATCTCTTCCAGTAAGAGATAGATACCTTTAGTGATATGGACTGTTCCATGACAGGTTATACAAGAAAGAAAATGCTGCTATGACTGTTTCCTTTACTGTTCAGTAAGAATTTGTTTTTAAGAGATATGCAAAGTTGGCATTTTGACTTACAGCACTGGAAGGTCTGTTTACAGGGTATAATGAGTTTTTAATGCAGTGATGTTGACTTTGCTTCATACTGCTAATAAATGAAACTTGATATAAAATATTAACTGGAGTCTCTGTTCTTGCCTACAGTAGTTAATGCCCCATACGCTCTTGTACCTCCATAAACAGGCTCAGCCCAGCACAATTTGGTTGGCCTCCACCATAGCTTCATACCTCTTGGGAACCAATCCAGAGGACACAGGCAATAGCAATATCCCATGGACATGGAGCAAGGTGCACCACCTGATGGGAAGGCAAACCCAGCATCATTTGATTCCTCATGGGGAGCTTCTGTAAGACCTGATACAGATCCCAGAGGTTTGCCTCCTCCTCCCCCACCCTCCACTTGGCTTTTAGAGCTTGTGGAGTTAGAAGTATCAATATTGATATTTTGCTTGATTATGTATAGTTACAAAAAATATGTGTTTGTTCCCAGAATATTACAGGATATATTTACCCTGCAACATCCAGATGACCTGCAAACTTGTAATGTTTCACAAGCAACAAATTACACAAAAGTATAATCTCCTTTCTTTTAGTCTAAAGAGATTCAATATATTCTCTATTAATTTCCCAGGTGTTTGAAAACATCTCTGTTGCTTGTATTTTTCCAAAATAAACCAATTAGTACACTCTGAAGAATCATATAAAAGGACAAAGTGCTGTAAAACTCCCCAAAACAATTGAATAGAAGGAAGTGCTCGTCACCGACTTTTTCCCCCTGTGAAGGCACATTTCCTTCCTAGCCTTCGCTTCACTTATCTGAGGTGGGTTTTTTTAAGAGAAGCATGGGGAGTTGCTAGAGGGAAAATGGATTCTTTATTTCACGTCCTGGTTTCTACCTGTCTTGCCTTGACATTCTCAGGTAAGTGTCTCTCCGTCCTTTCCCTCCTCTGTATTGCTCTTTCTGGCAACTGAGCAGAGCCCTCCAGCACAGCCAGTGACTTAAAAAAAATGAGTCACCTCTTTGCTGTGGTTCATACAAGAGGAATGGGGGGCAGGGCCAACATAGCCAGTTCTGTTTAGATTTCTTTCCAGAGGAAAACAAACCGTCTCCTTCTATGCTGGAGATACTTCTTCTTCTTTTAAGAAGATGTCCTGATAGACAATACAGGAGATGAGTTTTGGGAAAAATTCTTTAAAGGGGAGATTCCTATCTTTTATTTAAACTTCGTGCAACTTCAGAGACAGGAGCTTTCTGTGACGCTTAGTTAGAAAATACCTAGGTCTGTAAAAACAGGGGGTTGACAAATATCAACTGAGGGAAATAAATACATGTTTGGTTTGGCACTTTGTGACTAATGAGGCTGGAAATGTTTGAGTAACTGAGATTATAAAAAGAGAAAAACCCAAACATGATGTGGTAGGGAGGCTGTGTTTGAGTTCTGTATTCTGTAACTTTGTGGGGGTTTGATGAATGCATTGTAGTTCTCTTCATTTGATTATCTAGTGTTGATCTTTAAGTGTGGTGACACAGAGAGCTAACCTTACATGGATTGGAATGGTCACAAAACTAACAGCTAGAGATGTTGGAGTAAATCCAGTAACACAGATATACTTCCTATCAGTAAAGAACCTCCATTCCTGTAATGACACAGGCACTGAGAGGCACAGAGATTTGTGAATATGTTTTCTTACATGTTTCTTATATGTTTTCTTCAGAAACACTATGAATTTTACTAAAACAACTTACAGGCAGTAAATTATATTTTAAAATGTCTGTGTTGTAAAACTGAAAAAGATACTGAGAACTTGTGTAGATCTCTGTATGCTTTCAAGCAGAGGAAATGAGGTATTTAGAATTAGTATTTGAAGAAAATAGTTCTTGGCTTTCTTTTATATCTGGTTTAATTTTTTCTTCATTTTTATATATGATGAAGGCCATAATGACCTTACCACCATGGTTTGCTTTTTGCATTCTCATAATTTACATTCCTAGCACTGCATCATGTGGCTAGTGTGTTTGGGTTGGTTTTTTTAAAATAGGTTCAACTTATAGAATGTTGCATGAAAAGTTCAACACATCGAAAATAGGAAGAGAGATTTAATTGCCAATGTATTTTAAATCATCAAGAATTTGTTTTTTGTTAAATACCCATGTGTAATCTATTGTATTTTTCTGGAATTTTGCTTTTCCAGAAGGGTTTCTGATTATCCATGTCCAGAAACAGCAGTGTCTTTCAGAAAAGAGAGGAGTCATTATGGAAAAGTGCAATATGACAAACCTCAACCAGAAGTGGCAGTGGATGGCAGATGACAGGCTCCTGCATGTGAAATCTGCCCAGTGCCTGAGCATCTCTACACGCTCTACTCTGTCCTCTCGCAGCATCATCGTTGATTGTCCCCAGGCAGTTAGGTGGACTTGCCATGAGGACGGGCTCCTGAAGGTGGCAAATAGCTCTCTTTTTCTCACAAAGCAAGGTCAGAAAGTAATGGCCAAGCAGAGTAAAAAATACCTTCATACATGGATGCAGCTAGAAGCCAGTGAGACGGGAAAACCTGTTTATGTAAATCTGTGCTCAAAGCAAGGTGAGTTACTCCTTCAATGAAGTATCCTGGAAGTTTTGGCAACAAAAGTGTCTCTGTTATGCTAACTCAAATGTAAAATGTTCTGATGTTTTATTCATACAGAAAAATGATTTTCATAGTTGAAAATCATTTAGAGAACTATAAATGAACTGCTGAGATGATTGCTGTCTTTGTCACAATTGGTGGAGTTTTTAAGCCATTTTATATTTTCAGGATGCCTCTCCTTTTCTCTACTCCCAATCTTTGGATCAAAGTGCTTATGAGTAAGCTCAGCTCACTATTATTGTGTCATTTCCTTTTTTAATTTCCAAACAGAATTGTGGGTACTAATTCCTAGTCCTTTTAAAAAATGTGGATGTTTAAAAGTTCTTCTCCTCCCCATTCATTTTATCATACAAATCCAGATTCAATCTGTCAAGAGCAAAAAGACATCTAAAAATCAAACACATGCACAATTATTTCTCTGAGTAACCCAAATACATGATTAGAACAGACATGGCTTACACATTTGTGTGTTTTCTTGGTGTCTTTTTGCCCTTAGATGCCATATAAATGAGAACACTCAAAATCCTGAAAATAATGAACTGAATCAAAAATCTCCGAAATTCTTATAATAGTAGCTTGAGGAGCATAAGTCTGTGCACATTACAGACACATACCTGTATACCTGTGTAGTTATGAGTTTCCATATCCATGGCAAAATGGAAAGTAAAATGGTTTGAATGCTGCTTAATAACACTTCCTTCAGTGTTCTGTTGTCAGTCCTTCCTGGCAATCCCATTGACATTGAAGAATTAAGCAATTCTTCATACTAAATAAGAACAACCTACAGACTTAAGCTTTTTATTGGGGAATACACAGTTTATTCTTGCCTTTACAAGATTAAAAAAAAAGTTTTATGACCTAATACTTTCTCATGTAGCCAAGTTTTCAGAATGTCTAAAGCAAATCCTCATTCTTTCTAACCTCCTATTTGTAAGGCAAGGTATCATTATTTTCAGCAAATTTGCACTTAGAGAGCTCTACTCAAAGGATTAGGACTATTCACCTTTAGAGAAGGGAATGGAAAAGTGACCAAGATGCCATCCTAGCCCTCCCATACATGTTAGAGATTAAAGAGGCAAAATGATCTGAAGTCCTGTGTGGCTAGTCCTGGCCTCCTTGCTTATTCAGAGACAGTGTGAATGGTTCAGATGAGGTATGCAGACAGTGTTATTTCCTTTAGATAGCTGGATGAAGTGTGGCCTAGGAAGGTTAAAGTAACCTTACATCCTTTTCTTAATCATCCATCAGAGAGGAGGCAATTTAAGACCAATAAGCACTAAGAAAATTGACATGAGATATGAAAGCACCCTCTCATCTATTTACTGTGCTCAGTCATTAAATGAATTTACCTTAATTTTCCTGAAATTATCTCCATAGACAGGCCTGTAAATTCTCTTTTAAGTGTGTCACTTATCTCATTTTTGACAGCTCTGAGAAGCTCTACTGAGAAATCAACAGAACTTTATAATCCTCAATAGCTACTAAGAACCTCAGGAATGTAAGAAACTCATAAAGACTGAAAGTAGTGCAAAGATAATAATTTATGAAATAATAATAATAAATACTACAAGAACAAAATCTAATGCCCCCAGTTCTGGTCTTAGCATCCATATGCATGTCAAAATTTTCAATGTTGAATGTGCAAAATTAGTCTTCCAAGGATGTCTATCTGTTTTCAGTAAAAGCAGCAGTGGATTGGCCCAAAATAACATATTTGGTCTATACTTAGATAAGATAGTAAAAACTGAGCAAAATCTTTGGAGCTGAGATGGCTGATCTTTTACTCCTGACTAACACCATATTTTGATATAATTTACCCTCTGTTTTCATAGTACTCATAAAATAATTATATTTTGGCATAGGAGTAACTCAGTGAATTGCATCCTAAACATCTTATCAGCCCAGATAGTGTACATACTCCAAACCCTACAACTGCAACTATCTTTTTATTCTGGACCTTACTCAAATGTCAAACCTGATTTTTCTGAGCCTGGGGATGTACACATTTTGCAACAGTCCTGACCTAAATGACCATTTGTGGAAATCAGGTTCAGTTTGGGGATGTATCCCATCTCTGTTCACTCAGAGATAATTTTAAATCTAACAGCCAACAGTCCTTCTCACACAAAGCCCATGTTTGAATCTGACCTTCAGCTGAAACAGCTAACATTAAGAAGGGTCATGAGATATCAATCTCCCTTGAGAAAGTAAGACTTTGCTTCCCATCAAATTCATGAGGAGATTCTGGACAGGAGAGAAATAGTCTCAGTAGTGCTAAGGCCTTCTTTTCACTAGCCCACTGTTGGGTTCAGAGCTTCTTTAAGCCCAGAAAACAGGAGAAGGGACAGGAATGGAAACAGAGAGGAGGAGAAGATGGGGGAGGTGAAGAGGTAGAAGGCAGGATGATGAAGACTGTTTCAGGTAAATAACATTTGCAGAACAAATGCCTCCTCTTGTCTGGGAAGCACCCAGAGCACCACTAATGCTGACACACTTACACTGATGTCACTCCTGACTTGTGTAAGCAATTCTTACAGGCTTCTTTTGTTCCAGGTAGGTTAATTTCAATAAAATATCCAATTAAAGAACAGATGCAAAGCTACGTGGCACCTTGAGTATTGCCAACACGCCTCAAAATCACTGCTGACCAAAAATTATTCACTAAGTGGAGAATGACTTCATATAGGGAGACGCAATGCCAAGCTGTATGCTGCAGTTATGCAGAGATCTAGAGACTGTCACACAGCCTGTAGAGCAGTCTGGATGCAGAAGGTGACATGAACTGTTTTGTAATATGATGCTCTTCATTGCATTTCTCTTCTGTCATATCGTACATGATAGGGACAACCCCAGAGCTGTGGATATCAAGACATTCGAAACAGTAGCTGATTTTGTGGAGGAGAAAGGTTTTATTACTTACCGTTATGTGCCAAGCACTTAAGAACCAAAGTGGGATCTACAAAGATATAAAACATGTAGGACAAGGAATTCAAATAACAACTAGAGCATCTTTCTCTCTCTTGTTTTGTTTTCACCTGAAAATAGACAAAATGTGAGATACTATGTATGAGCCAAAGTCTGCCGTGTGATCTGATGTTCACACTGTTCCTTCCTCCTTTTCTACCCTTGTTTCTCGCCCAGTATCTTCTCTTTCATGTGGACTTCTCTCTTCCCCTTATCCCCTTTTAAGTTTACCTACTTCATAATCAGAACGTGAGCTTATTGAGTTTACATCCCTCTACGGATGCTTCAGTGGTTGATATGGAGCACAGAAGATACCAGAGCAATGTACACTCCAAGCACGCTCCAAACCACTGGAGCAGCAGTAGCAACTGCAGAACATGGAAAGGGAAGACACATCTGTCTCCTTGGGACTCTTGGGAAGGTGGAAGAACACCAAAGGAAGGTGGCAGAAGCACAGAAAAGGCAGCAACTCTTACCCATTTTTAAGATCATGTGAATATCTTTAGACTTTAATTTTTCCACACCTTTAGTGTTTGTAGTGGCTGCAAGAATCCATCCATAGGTTCACTAGACGTTGGATTTTTGTGTGTATCTTTTACAAATTTCTCCAAGATAAATTAGAACAGTGATAATCAATATTTTCATTCCACCTTTGAGATGACCCAAAACATTTTTCCTAAAAAAAAAATCACTCAAATCCACTTGTATCTCTCTGAAATATTATTTTATAGGATTTTTTAAATAAAAGAGTTTGCTAACATCTATGTGAACCCATGAAATATCAAATATTAACTGAATCTTCTTTCTTTGGTCAAAGAAATATATGGCTGACCACTTTTGCTGAGCTTCATCTGGACAAAGAGAGGCCTCAATATCAAATCCTTACATAATTACAAAATCTTGTACACAATCCAATATCATACTGACAGAAGCTATAACCAATTTTTCTCATCATTTTTTGTGACAAAATTTTTTTCATTTGACAAACACTCATTTACCCCTAACATTTCAACATTAAAAAAAAAATCACAAGATAAAGATAAATGTGGATTTAGATTTTCTAAAAAGAAATGGAGAAATCTGCAGTGTACCTAGGTCTCTGGGTTATGTAAATTCTCAAAGTCTCAGTGAGACACAGCACAAAGAATATAGAAAAAATCAGCTCAGGTACCTTCATAGGGAAATAACGGAACACTAGGAACAGCTCCCCAGAGCAATCAGGAGTAAGGCAAGTCCTGCTTTATGATTTCATCTTCTTCTGCAAGGGAAAACAAAAATGCCAATTCCAGACAACCCTACTGGTATTTTCCATTTTTACATTCTGTCCCTTTATTTTGTGTGAACTTCTCTGTAGCAGCTGGAGTGGGTTTGAGTTATCTAAATGTAGGTGTCTGAAGGAAGGGCCTATTTCAGTTGTCTCAACATAGGTGCTTTTTGTCATTTGAGATGCTCCAGGATATTCCACCTGATCTCTGACTGCCAGCCCAGACGGACATAGGTGTCTCACAGGTGTTATGAGAGCCCTGAGCAGAGGGCCTGAGGGCAGTTCATATTCTACTAAGTTTAGGCAACTGAACCAAGCCCTGGGTATCCACACAGAGGTAACTTTCTGAACTCTCTCGAGTAGATGTGTATGTAATCCATGGAGTTCATGCAGTCCTAGATGTCCTTTAGTGACCAAAAATCCACTTCAGGGTGAGCTGGAACTATCCAGAGTGTCAAAAATAGGGTTGGTACAGCAGTAGTGTTATCATCAAAGATGTACCTGGGATGTTCTGCTACCGCTGGTGCTGCAAGAGCCTCTAAGTGTCTACTTCAGCATTTCCAAAACAAGCAAGTAAAAGAGCAGCTCAGGATTAGACTGGAGTGGAGACATTTGACCTCTGACATGAGATAGAAATATTGCTAACTTCTACAACATTCAAATAAAGAAGGTAGAAAACTTTCAAGCAGCACAAATTTTGCAGTTTTTGAAAGGTCTGCATTGAATGGCAAAGAAAGGACATTTAGTGGATTTTGTTCTTCTGTCATACTCTTACATACAACAGAAATCTGAAGTTTTTTCTTTAAATAGTGTTCATTTTTACATCTATTTACAAGTAGTTAGCTAAAAAAATAAAGGGACCTTAAAGCAACCCCTTCTATTTTCAAGTCTTACTGTAAGTTATACTCAGTCTTACAGAGTATTTTGTTTCTTATACAATAGTTACCTGATTAATTTATGTTTCACTAGCAGTTCAGCCTTAGTTTTCTGAAACTGTGCTTTAATAAGGTAGGTAGATTGGTGAAAAGCAAGCTACTTCAGAAAGGTGCACATTGCCAGCTTGGTCTGAAGGCACCACTGTAGGTGGTTCAAGTTCTCAGTACTTGACAACTAATCAGTGCTCTTGCTAATCATAAATGAAAAATGTATGGGCTTCCTTTTCTTGTAAGCAGCCTGCTGCTGTGCAGACGGATGCAGTTTGCAGTTCGCCCCATGGATGAAATATGCACTTAGCAAGAATGCCATAATTTCTCCTGGGTGTGCTACTGGTGATTACAATGTTATGTTCACACACTGTATATCATTTAGCCACTAGTGATCAACCTCAGTGTCACTGCTGCTGTTCTGTTCCCATGAACAGTTTTATGACTGATTTCCAAAGAGACTTCTAGAACAATGCTAAACACTTCTGAAAAATCCCACTGTTGAGATTTCTGTGTACTTTATACTAATGTCCAGACAGGAGGTGAGTTTCTTCTGGTTAAAAAATTTGTAATTTAAGTTATGTAGGAATCTGCTTACATGGACCTTATAATATGCGGTTTTTTTTTTTTTTTTTTCTAAGTGCCTGATATTGAAGAAGGGCTATGAGGGTCCTTCTGCTAGGGCCACACTAGTGGTTTTACTTAGAAAGAGAATATAAACGTGGATTCTGACTTTCTTGAAGTGAGGGCAGATATGAACCCTATTAGTCAGTCCTGGAGGATCTATAGGAAATGCTGATACATACATCTGAAGTTCCAGCATGGCATAGTGCTATACACATCCATACATTACAGGTAAGGGACTGTAGTCAGTCTTTGCTGGAAAAGATTCTTTATCTGAAAACCCAGAAGAGCCCCAAGCTCTAACGAGAGAAGTTGGGTTGTGCAGTGACCAAATGCTTGTTTCTGGTACCTCCTTGGGCTGGTGGAACTTTCCTGAGGACCAAGCGTTTCACTTCCAGGACAGTCAAGCTCTCCCCTTGCCTCCTGCACCAAGAATACCAGTTATCCCCTGGCTGCTGAGTCCCACAAATGTTGCTGGCAGCACCAGCTTCCCTTTTATGGAGGAGCAGCTCTCCTAAAGCACAATTGCCCTGGAATGCAAAAGCCTTCCTGTTGGAATCACAGATATTTGTCTGTAATTTAAGCCAAGATTTTTTTTTAATTTTTTTTTTTAAGTTGGGTGTGTCAATTTATATTTAGGAACCCAATTGTGGCCTTTTTTCCTGAGCCATTGCTTACCGCTCAGGTACTTCTTCTTTAGCTATCTTCCTATCATTAGGTTCTACTCCCTACTGAACTCAGAGATATCTGGGAGGCACAGAGGCACAGGCCTAATTCTCTCCAAGTCCTTGGGGCTAGGATTTCTAGTTGCCTATTGCAGACTTTCAGAGACCCACGAGTAATAGGAGATCCCCAGAAACAGTGACTGACAGGGAGTTTAGATTAAGTCTGGGCTTGTGTCAGCTAATGGGTTTGTTGCAGGAGACGATGAGAGCTTGAGCACAATTAGATAAAAGAAGGGTAAACATTTAATCTGAGTATCAACCCATTCCAGCAAATCAACACTTTTCAGAAAGATCCAGAACCACGGTGAATGCACTGGTACATGTCAAGCACAGGAAATAGTTGCATGAAAGTGTCTCATAGTAAGGTTTACAATCTCAGTTTTCTTTCTCAGTGCAAATGAGAATGCTGCAAATTTCTCTATATAAATGTGTTAATATATGTATTTACACGTATATAAGAAAAAGCATCATGTTGATTACATGGACGCTCATCTACTGATCCTTTGGGTAAGAGGTAAACACACACTGGCCTGCTAAGACATCATAATTTCACAGCAAGTAATTGCATTTGAAAGCTTCTGCTGCAATTTAACCCAATAATTTCTTTGTTTTTAGAGAATTTGTGAGCTAAAATTGTTACAAATGGCAACCAGCCCAGTGGCTCAGCAGCAAACAAGGTTCTTGTCAGGCTGGAGACCCCAGTTCAAGGACTGACAAAGTGTCTTGGGCACTGAGCCAATGCACACTCGCTGTGCAACAGCAGTGGCAAGGCAGCTTTTTGTGAGATGAGGCCAGTGTGTAATTCCAATTGCTTAGCTGAAATGTAATGCTACCAGATGTAGAGGCCACCACAGCTTGAACCCTGCCCTCACAGCCACAAAGAAAGGATATTAAATGCATACCAGTGGGGAGGAAGAGCCATGAAAATGTGGAGGAAAAATGTGTAGTAAAATCTTTCCTGAGCTTTAATTGCAGCTTTGGCTTTCTCTGAAGGGTACGTGACTGAAAAAGCAAATCCGCCATCATATTTGCAGATACTTCAGTTAAGTGATAGATTGTTATCTGAGCCTTGGAAAGGCAGCAGTCAGGGACTAGCATGGTCTCTGCACAGGACTGATTTTTAAAAGCAAAAGGAATGTGGGCACAAGGAACTTATCTTGGGCAAATATCTCAAACAAAAAAAAATTATCTTGAATAAATCATCTTGAAAGATTATCCTGAACAAAGCCATGTTTTAAACTTACACCAACAGAAAGCAGATGAGAATCTGGCCTGTGCACTTAGAAAGGGGGAAGAGGGCAGACAACATAAAGCTGATCCTGTGTGCCATTCAATAGGTCCAAGCAAGTGAAAAAGCTCTGAGTGAAAACATTGTGCTGTTGATGACAAAGTACAACCTCCCTTCACTTCAGAATCCCTGATGGATTATCCTTAAAATGAACGGTATGAATGTTCAGGGAAATTTTTTTTTTCTGTTTTGCACAGACTTTGGTATTGATGCAAAAATACATGTTTGCACTAAAAACAAACAAAAAAACCCTATAGAGCTGACAGGTGCACTTGAACTACTTAGAAGTTGTATCAGCCACATTTATTGAATCTACTTAATTGTTTATAAAAATGTAGAGCTGATTTTAATTACTTCTCCTTGTTTGTCTTAGATTTCCAAGAGGCAGACACTTCTGTATGGAGTAGTAGAACTACATTCCCCTCTTCGAATGCTGTTACTTCTAGACCTGAAAATATGCTGAAGAGTAGCACAGAGATGTTCCTCAGAAATGTGACTGAACACTTCAGTAAAAATTCCATTGGAAAGCTCTACTTTGACTTGAAATCTGCAGTTACAGAGAATGCCTGGATTCCAACAACCACTCTTCAATACTATAGCACTACAGAAGAGGTAAGACAGAATAATTACTGATTTTTATTAAGCCTCCTCCACTCTCTGCAGCCTGATAGCTATTACAGGTGGATGTTTTGGGGGCATAAAAAACCAAACCCAAAACCAAACCAAACAAAAAAACACCCCACAAACAAAACCAACCAAACAAACAAAAAAATAAAAACACCACCCAAAAAAACTCAGCTACAGGAAAGCTTTGTTCTTTTTTTGGTGGGATGCTTTGTTTTGATGTTCATGCTGACAGTGTCCTTTACTAGGAGCATAGCTGCAGAAAAATTCTGCCTCTTCTGTTACAGCCCAATCTTGGTACGCACAATGCATTGGGAAAATCTCTAAGCTCAAGGGATTTTGTCAGGATATGAGGAGCAGTGGAAAGCTCATGAATGTGGCAGGAGCCACAGGAGCCTGGGTATCTGCTCTCAGTGACTCAGGCTCTGTCACTGGTTTGTTGCATGGTGTGAGGGTCTAGTTCTAATAACACACTAAAAATTACCTTATGCAATGACTTTATTTACGGATAATTGAGTCCTAAAATTACAGGCATTGATTACAGATCACAGTAAGAGAAATCCGAATGCTTTAACTTGCCTTAAAAGGAATCCTGGCCTTGGCCATGGCCAGCTTATCTGAGTGACAGGCAGAATGGAGACACACAGGTGCTTCTTGATCTCTGCTCTGTTGAATCACAAACAGCCCTGGCTGAGCAGGGGAATGGGGCTGCCAGCCCCACCTATAGGAGGAGAAATGACAGGCATTCAATACCTCCAAATCAATTTCCAGTCTTCCTTTTTTGCAAGACTCAGTTCAGTAATCTGAGAGTAAACCTGGAATCACCATTGGCAAAATGTGCACGGGCAGTTAGAGCTAAAGCATGCACGACATTATTGGTCACTGTATCGCTATCATCACATAGTGGTTTAGAACTGAAAATCCCTAAATTCCCTGGTGCTTCCCTTCCAGGAGACCACACTACTCTCAATGTATTGGGGCAGGCAAACATGTTTCAGTTACTGTGTGTTGCTGTGGATAAAGACTAAGAAATGTGTTTTGTATTTGGGAAGGCTGAGGAGAGTGTCCGAGTCTGTAAACTTGATGGTTTATGGCCCCTGACACTGCTGCTCTAGTGTTGATGGTGGGAAGGGGCTGAGCTGATGATGGAAGCACTGCACCCCATTCCAGAGCTGATGTAGGCAGTCCATGTAAAATATGATTATTCTGGAGGCAGGCTGAGCTTATTTCCTCATGCCTTCTGTCCATATAGTATACCTCCTGCACCGAATATTGGTTATTTCCAAATGGAAATGTCCTATAAAATCTGGTAGTAGCCAGACTACCTCCAGCACTCTTACTAAATAATACAACCAGAGCTAGAGAAATGGCACTGGTTGAACTGCAGAAACTACTGCTACCCCACTTCACGTCCTGATGACACCATTTGCACTGAGCAATTGCTTAGGTCAAAACTTCCAAACTAGAATTCTGATGATACATGTATCAATGAAAAAAAGAATAATCGCTTTTCCTAGGAGCCTCCAGCTGGTTCTGGACATTTGAATCTAGATATACCAATCAGATAAATCAACACACAAAATCTGTGGCCTCCATCTCTGTTTCCCAGTCTTTAGAATGGAGTCAAAAATATTTTTTGTCAAACTAGCAGGGACGTTTAGAGGATTAACTGGATTTAACACAGTACTTTGAAAACACATACAGTGAGTGCTGAGTATTGTTGTGAGGAAGACAATACCTTCTATGAACTGCTTTTGCCCAAACTAGGTCCTCTTGTTTGTAAAAGTAAAGCCTTGATATTATTTGGCTGTGTGCATACCTGTTTTGGGGGGACAATAGTGGCATTTCAATCAAAAAAAATGTTTGGTTTAGAGCTGCCTTGGACTTCAAGTAAAACTGCAGCTTGCACTTTGAATCCATGACAAAAGCTATGCAAAGCCCATTTCCTCTTGATTAGAGAGACAGAGAGGTTGGTGTTAAAAAAAAAACAACTCAGGAAACCTTGGGAAAGTGTCTGAAAGGGACTTTGGAGCCTGCTATTAGAGACACGTCCGGTAACTCCCAAAACTCACTTCCAGTTCTTTTTTCTTTTTTAATTAGTTTCTTGGCTTGCCACACAGATCAGTAAGTGTTAAAGGCTGTGTGACTGCTTATCTACTAAAAGCCTATTTATCCAATACCAATCTGGAAATAATTACTTGCATTATGTTGGCTATTCTATATAAATATATTGCCCCCACTAAATGATGGACCTGTCATGTTTTATTTCAGTGCTGGCATAGGCATCTGTATCAGACCTTACCCTTGCAGCAGCTTTTGCTGGATAACATACAGAAGGAAGTCTCAAAACCAGTAATAAACCAGTCCTTTCCTACTAATACAAAAAGATAAAGATCCTATGATAGCAAGAATAAGACTAATAAAGTATGAACTTCTAAATTATGAGCACTTGTGAGAAGCAGTAGCATCATGTTCCTCCACACATTATCTTACATTATCTGGAAGAGATAAACAAATATGTCTTTCCAATAGTCTTTAAATTTTACTTCTGGTAGGTTCCACTTTTTTTTCCTGAATTTTATGTTTGCAGTGTTATGTTTTTCCCCTTTCACATATTACATCTGCTTAAAAAACTTACACCTAAATATCCGAATTATATCTTCCCTGCAAATTCAGATTATGGATGTTTTCAAAACTTGTTTTAATAATGTGAGCTCTGCTTTTGAAGAAAAGGCAAGTTACTTGTAATGTTATAATTACAGAGAGGAGTTTGAAGTAATCCAGACATCCCAATAAGCCTTCAGATCTCTTCTTCTCTAGTGCTGGAAAAATATTGGTGTGGTTTATGCCATTAGGTCCAAAAACCATGATCATCTAAAGATGAAATCACACTGTAAAACTCTCTCACCTTGAATGATTACCAGACATCTATGTAATTTGAATACCAGTTCAGGTCTAAGAAACCCACCTTGTGTTTCTCATCAATGGTATGTTTACCCCTGTGCTAGGTCTTTGGGGCTTGGTCCCTCCTCCTGTCTGAAGTATGTAAAACATCTCTTCTGAGGGAGATTGTGTTCTGTGATGGACTTGAGAATGGCATAATAATCAACACATATTTATATTATCACTTAAAGTGACATTCATAAAGTTAATAATCATCCTAAGCTTTGTAGGATAGAGCTCAGCATTTTCAGTACCATGTACCTAGGACCATGGAGCTCCACTGGGACAGATGAAATTTTCTGTAAGTGTGGGTAACACTCTTTGAGTACTCAGACGTTTGGTTTCAGAACAGAAGAAGGAGAGCTAAGGTTTTTCAGACATTTGTATCTTGTTTGACAGACTGATTGCCCAGAAAAATCCTAGAGCAGCAGCTCCCCTAAAAGGTAGACTAGCGCCTGTAAACCTAGAATCTTTTTCTCCTTAAAATGGGGCAAAAGTGATAGAGACAGTGTTGAATTTGCTTGAGGTATTGCATTTAAAAGTTAAAATCCCACATGCATCATGCAATACAGGAAGACAGAGAAATGTGTCATTCCCATTGAAGAAAATAAATGTCAAATTCCTTCCCCTTTATGCAATCCTAAATTCACTCCATGGCTGCTATTTGAATATCTGAACGTGCAAAACACTTCTGGTTACATTTCTTCTCCCTCACCCTACATACATATATATATATGATTTTTAAGATGCTGAAACCTGAACAAGGAGGAAATAAGTATACATGGCAGAAATGGCAAGTTTCCGTTTTTGCAGCAGCCAACTTGGAGTTGCGCACAGCTTTTTTGGTGCAGTGTGAAAACAGAGAAACTTTCTTGCTTTCCATGGTGTGTGTAATTTTAGCTTGGGAGTTATTTGGGGAATGTGGGAAGGAATTGTTTCAAGGACACAAGTTGATGCAGAACAAAACAAAAAGCTGAGATGACTGCTCACAGACAGACTACTCTTCTGCTGCAGGTAGCATCTCAGTGTCAGGCTCTGCTGGGACTCTCCTGGACACAAGGCCTCTGTTCGCAATGCCATAGGGCCAGGGAGAGCATGGAGGCCTTGGTGGTCCATGGCTAACCCCTAAAAACATCAGTGTTTGGGGATACAGGAGCTGGAATGTGATGGTTGAGTCCAAGAGGAAGGTGGGCTAGGAGGTGGGGTGGCTGTGAAGAGTGGCAGGCGTGAGGAGAGCAGGCATGGGAGGAGAGGTGGCCATGGAGCGAGGCAGGTGTGCGATGACCATGAGGAGTGGCAGGTGTGACGAGGAGGCACATGAGGCAAGGCAGCTGAGAGGCAAGACGAGCATGAGACAAGGCAGATGCAAGGTGAGGAGGCAGATGCAAGGTGAGGAGGTCGTGAGGCAGTGCAACCGTGAGACAATGCAAGGCAGCGTCAAGTGAGGTGCAGCCAGCATTAGGCGAGAGTGCCGCCCCTAAGCAACAACGGCACCGCCTGGGGGGCCGAGGGGCCCCCATGCGCCTGGAGGAACGCTTGGGAAGACAAGACCCAGGGGAGAGGCAGCATGCAGAGGAAGCACTGAGGAAGGAAGGGAGGTGGGGTGGGAGAGGAGCCGGGAGGAAGGTGGGATCCATAAGGAGCGAGGGGCGGCACCCCGGGGCCGATCGGCTGCCCGGTGGGCGGCAGGTCCCGGATCGCCGCGCTTCGCCCCCCGCAGCGAGACGTGAGGAAATCGCCTCTTGATTGCGGAAGTCGGCGGGAAGGGCTCCGGCAGAGTCAGCCCGGGTCAGAATGGCAGCGTGGGAAGCGGCGGCCGCCTCCCCCGCCTCCCCGCTCCTCCTCAGCCGCGGGCGGGCAGCCCCCCCACCCAGGCCGGTGTCAGGGAGGCGGCTCGGCGGCCGGGGCAGCCCCGAGCGCATGCAGCAGGCGGGCGGCCCGGCACAGGGCTCGGAGCCCGGCGGGGAGCGGGGGCCCCCGGGGCCCGCCGCCGCCACTTCGCTTCTTCGGACCCCCCCACCCCACCCCACCGTCCCTTCTCTGATTCCCCTCCCCGCGAGGGTTTTCGGGGTTAAAAACTGTCGGCGATGCTGAGCTATGGAGCGGGATTCGCCCTGTGGACGGCGCTGGCCCTGACCAAGGTGAGCGGCCGGGAGGAGGGGGGCGGTGCAGGGTCTCCCTTCGCAGGTCGCAGCTCGAGGCATACGGGTGGGTTTGCGCCGGACCGGCACAGCTCGGGGACGGGGCTGGGGGCTGAGCCCGGGGGGCGCCGGCGGGTGTCTCAGAGCTCTCCCCGCTCTCCGCAGGCCGCGCCGGAGCAGGCAGGATGCAGCGCGAACCTGACGGAGCAGCGCGTCTTCGGGCAGAGCGTCCGGCTGCGCTGGGGCACCGCGGGCAGCGCCTGCAACTTCAGCCTGAGCGGGCTCTCCGAGGACGGGGAGGCAGCCGGCTGCCTGCCCACCCCCGCGGGCAACGGGACCTACGGCTGCACCCTGCAGGGCCTCCAGGCCGGGACCTGGTACCACCTCCGCATCGAGCCGCTCGCCGGCGGGGAGGCTCTCAACATCTCCGTGCAGACAGGTACGGGCGCGGCAGGTGCGCAGGGAGGGACGCCGGGCTTTTCCTTCCCGTCCCCTTGTTTCGCCCTGCTCCAAGAGGAGGTGAGCGATGCATTTACAGCTACGGCAAACGGACAGTGTTTGCTGAATACAGCAGCCCTGCGCTTGGGTTCTCTTTAGCCCACTGCTAGAAGAAAACGCTGCCAACAGTTAACCCAGCAGGTTTGAAATGAGAGGGTGCTATGAGGAGACTTGGTCAGAAGAATGCTTTAAGAAGTATTAGACCATAACATTCTTTGTGTTCATGCAATCCCATTGTCTTCGTAGTTACTCAAATGACAGGTTATTTACTGTGTTTAAAATACAGTCTATTTCATAGCAGGTAGATCCTCTTTAAGGACAACTTACTGTTTAAGCCCATTTCCATGCTTTTATTTTGTCCAACCACAATTTAAAAGTCAGAAAGGCTGAAACTTCTTGCTTCTATCTTTTCCTTGGATGTCACTGGTGAGGTGTTATGATGTACAGTTGTGTGCAGAGCACTTACAGTGTCAGATCTGTGACTGGCTGTAAAAATGTGCCAGTAGTCTGACAGAGTGCTGCCAAGGAAAGCTCCCTTGCTGTATTTGTGTTTGTGTGTGCATGTGAGCAATTCAGCTGTGAAGCAATGGACAGCATAGAGCCAACAGCTGCAGTGACAGAACTGAACTCTTTCTACCTGTATCAGTGTTTGGTTTTTTTTAATAATGATGAAATATAACATTATCCAACCTCTTGATGGTGGTAGTTCAAGACCCCAGACAGAGATGTCTTTAAAGGAGGTCCATCATTAAATATCTCCCTGATTTGCTCCCAAAGTGTTAGTTTCAGAGAAGTACTTTGCAGTATTAGTACTGAAGATTACAGCAACCAAATACTTAACAATTACCCGTTCACAGACATCACTTTCTGTCAAAGCTTTTACCCTGTATGAACTGTACAAATGCACTAAATACACTCCATTAATTTGCTTTAGTAACTCATGTTAAAAAAACACTAGTGGCAAGTCTGCTGTGTGATAGCTACACATTAAGCACAAGTCACATCACTTGGTAAAAATGAAAAATGGTTTCTCTGCAGACAGTGATTTAAATCAGTGTTGTGCATCATGCCAACTGTTTTTAATATTGATGACTTGTAATGTAAAAATCGAAAGAATAGATCAACCGTTATCAGTGATGGGTACAAATCATCATCATTTCTGTACAGTAACGTTCTATTATTGAACACTTACATAGAAGTAGAGAAAAAGATACCACTTTAGAACATATTTTGATTAATGCATAATCATTTAGACAGAAGTTGTACATGCCATTTATTAATTTTTTATCACTGAATAGATTTTGGAAGGCTGTAAGGTGAAAGTGATTGAAAGCAACTGATGATTAGTCATATTACATAGCTGACATCAAAGTGAAAAGTCTGATTTAAATTGAAATACTGCAGATTAGTGGACCATAGTTAAAGTGAGGTTTGCGTTTGGATTTTGGATAGCAGAGATCAGTGAAAAGCAAGAAATAAGAATAGAAGAACCATGAAGGTTTCCTGCAGAAAGAGGTACTCATATTGCTCTGTGGTTCCTTGCTTCCCTTGATTCAATCACGAGTTGCATTGCTTGATGGTGTAAAATACACAAAATCCAAACTTTGTCATTTTTTTTTTCTAAAGAACGGTTTTGTTATGCCTGTCAGCAACCCATATTGTACTGTCCAGACTAAACTTTTTGATGCAGAATGAGGGAGAATTATTCCTCTGTATGTTTCCACTAGGGGCAGCATTTTAGACCAGTTTTCTTGAAGCTCTGATGTCAGTAATTTGAGTTTATGATCTACTGAGCCTGAGTGTCCATAGGCATGTATTTCTGGAAATTGTCCTGTGAATATGTAAGTATAAGCCATATGTTCAACCATATTGTAAACAAAATTCCCACTGATTTCAACGGTAGCAGAACTGAGCTCTCATGGGCCATCTAAAAATATGACGTTTGACCTTGGTACTCAGTGAGGTTCCCTTTCTGAGTTCTTTATCTGAGGAAGATGGGTGAGGGTGCCCTTTGAAGGTGCCCAGCTTTCTCCGCTGACTATCAAAGGAAGCTAGATTAAACCAGGAACTTGAAGTTTAGTTGGTTGAAGGGAGAGGAATCCCATCTCCTGTGTTTATCTTTTGCAAAATGAGGTTTGAACATCTATATCATCTTGATACAATAAATGCAGACAGAAAAAGTTTCAGATTTGTTTATGTACCTAGTTCAGAAACTAGCTTTTTGCTCAGATTCAATCCTGTTAAAATCTTCACGCACCAGTTCTGAGGTCAATTTTCATCAAGTTTCTTATACAAAGGGCTTGAGTAGCTAAGTGCATAAAATTCAAAATATTTTGTTAAATTTTGTGTGTAAACTTTTATGATTAAGAGCTCAAGGTGAAAGCGATAAATAATGTATACTGTAGTTGCAGTAGTAATGTGAAGGGTTGGAGAGGATCAAATCCCTAACTGCATTTAGCCTTTGGAGTATGTAATATGACATTAAAATCACAGTCCGTGTTGTTTGGAAGTTTGATGTTCCAGTAGAATAATAGTGCAGGTCACCAAGATGGCCTAAACTCTCAAGTAACACCAGATTCACCTTTGTGAATCGTTGGGTAGAAAAGCAGCTTTTAGTTCCCTTATGGATGCAGAGATGTGAAATATAATAATGTGTGGAATACTGGTACTACAATCCACATTAGACCACTAAAGTAGACTCTCTTTACTCAAGAAATTTTGATTTATGGGTTACCAAAACAGCAAGTATTTAATCCTGTAGAGCAGAACTAAAATAGATCATCCAAAACAATGCACAATACAGTCACATGTGCACTTTATAAGATAGGTATACACAGACATGCAAACACACACGGTGGGGACAGTTGTGATATTTTAGTAGAATAGGAAAGAAAGAAAAAACTGATAACACCATTTATCAACTCTGAGCTACAGACTAATTTTCCACTGCAAACCTGAGATTACAGATGTTAGTAGGCACAAGTTTGCATATTTGGTTCACGTTAATATTTACAATTACAGTTTGTTACGGGTTTTTTTTTTAAATACATATGTACACGGAGCATCACATAACACTATACAACCAGTCAGCATGCTTGACATTGTAAATTTGGGATAACACATGCACCTGTTGGTCCTTTCATGTTATATTCTTTATGGTTCTCAGTAAAACTATTTCTGTGACTGAGAACTGCTCAATGACAAAAGATGGTAGAGTCGTGTCTTTCCTGATTTCAGATAAAATACATTTTAAGTTCGTAACTCTCCAAATATCTGTGCACCAGTGTAACTGTGTATTTCAGTGAATGACTAGGTCTTTAATTAAAATTCTAGTTAAAAACAATAGTATATGAATAGATCCTAAATTACAGTTAAATTTCTGAATTGAAATTCAGATTTGAAGTACCAGTCTTGAGAGCCATGAAAAACAACTTTCAAATATGTCTTCTAAAATAGGCTTATAAATGCCATTTTCAAAATTGTTTTATGCAAAAATATTGCTGTGATATATTAAGTTACTGCCTAATCCGAGCTTCCTGTACTGAGAGAACTGATGGGTAAATAAGTTTTTGTTAGAAAAACCATTAAATATTTGAATAAAAAGAATTTAATAATTCTACCTTCTAAGGCACATACTGGTAGAGTGTTTCTTCTTTGTAATATGTAACTCTGTAAATGCCAGAGGCATGCCTTGGCCATGTGTTCACTCCTGTAAATTTCAAATTATTTGAGACAAATCTGATTTGTTAGCCGTTCTGTAGGAGCCATATGTGACATAGCTCTAACTATGGACTGTATAATTCTATCATCCGTAATCATGTAATGGTTATGATCATAATTTCAGAAGGCAGAGTACAAGAAGTAAATAAATATGTTTTAAAGATTTTTAAGGTTGCATATCATCTCAAAGAAAATGATATTTGTACTTAGGATGATGCAATCAACCCTCTTTACTTAATCTTCAGAAAAGTCCATATGAATTAGGTTACTGTTTTATGAAGAGGGAAAACTAGGAAAGAAATTGATAATTTGGTAGGAAGATGGCTGAGACTGGCAGGAATTTCCCAGTGCTCAATCTTGGGCTCATATCTCCCAGTTAATTTTTTTCTCCTGCTTTATGTGGGTGTGTTTCTGTGCTTACAGGCTGTGTTTGGGAGTCATGTCATTGGGGCTGGACATAACCATATCTATCGTGTCTATAAATTGGATCTGCAGCAGCTGTGCACACAAAGCGTATCCTCTTCCCAAAAAGTGAAAATGGAGTTGCAATATAATTCAAACACCATTAAGTCTTCTGAAAGATGCCTTTGTAGACTAGGGGACATTAATTCATATATTATCAAGTTGTATAAAAATACCTTTGTGAAAATATTTCATTTCTGTGATATATCAGTGTTGTATCATTGCCAGCAGAGACTTGTATAACAATGTAAATGGTTTTTTAAGTGTTTGTTTCCATCCAGGGCTCTTTCAGTCCAGGCACTTCCCAGTCTCATTGTTCCTTTGTTCTAGCGGATGTACAAAGCACTGAGTGTTTTGTTTTCTGGACCAGATAGATTAGATAAAGTCTGAATTTCTGAACTTCACCTTCTAGGCACGCAACTTTCTTCTTTACTCATGCACCTTAGAAGACAGATTACCCAGGACAGTATAAGTGCTTCTAAAAATGTAGATATCTTTTTTTGTCAAATTTGGCAAATAGTACAGATTACAATGTTGATTACTTTTGCAGGACTGAAGGACCTTATCCTAACTTTGTGAGAAAGAGAGTAAACTTCTTGACAGTTATCATGACTTTCTCTCGACGTCAGCCAAATAAAAACCTTTTCGGCTGGCTGTGGATCTGATCATGTTTAGTGCTGGAATTTATTTCTGACTCCCAAAGTTTGACCTTTTTAATTAGAACAATTGCCTTCAAGGAACGAGATTATAACCCCACTTTTCACTTTTGCCAACATAATAGTCGTTAGTGGCTTAGTATATATTATAGGTGGAGCTGGTAGTCAAGCCTATTGTTAAGATTTCCTGGCACTTTTCATTAAAACCTCCTGTTTCAGTTGCTGTAACTGGGTGAAGTTTTAACTATTTGGCCTGAAGTTTTATGTGCTTAGTCTTTGACTTGAGTTTTAGTTTGTTTGTTTGTTTGGGGTTTTTGGGGGGGTGGGTGTTGTTTGTTTGTTTTTGTTTTGGTTTTGTTTTTTTTTTCTTTTTCAGATTTAAGCAGATTTAATTTAACCTTTAGGAAAGCAGTCAAAAAAAGATTTTTATTGATTTTAATTTTAATTTTTATTCTCTTTTTCTGAAAAGCACTAACATCTCTGCTGTCCAAAGCAAAAATTTGAATTTAAGCGGAGACCTGGGTTCAAAGAGACACAGTATTTTTTGGAGTCACAGAAAGGCTGAGGTTGGAAAGGACTTCTAGAGGTCACCTGGTCCAAGCCTCCTGCTCAAGCAGGGCCACCTGGATCCAGTTACCCAGGACTATATCCAGTCAATTTTTGAATGTCTCCAAAGAAGGAGGTGCTTCTTTGACATTGCTAATATACTTGATTGACAAAGCATACCACCAATACTTGGCACCATGATGTTCTCAGCAGAGCTTTGTAAGAAGCAATTAAACCCTCTACACCATCCAGGCTTTGAAGAAAAAGCAGCTTAAAGAATCCTAGGCTCTCCTACCACTGTATTTGTAGGGTGGGGATAGGTTTGACTTTGTCCTTTTACCCCTTAATAGTGCATTTTTTAATTATGTGATTTTTAATTATGTGATCTCACACTCTTGTCTGCTTTGTTCAGGGAACCAAGCAACAATGACTACATTGGAAAAATGGTCTTGTTCTTCTGTATTTAAGGTGCTGTTCATAGAGAGACTGTAGTTCTCAGCCTGGATGCACCATACATTCCCTGTCTGATGGTAGGGAAGAGTAGCATGGAGTATACTCTTGTGGAAGGCAAATTCAGTTCTTAAATTGATTGGGAACCCTTATCCTTTAACTTCCCAACTTGTGAAGGCTTGATTTTGCTGCTTTGGGTTGTTTTATGATACTTTTTTAATAGGCAATTGCTTAACCTTATTGGGAGACATAAATGTCAATACCTTAGTACACCAACATGTAATACATTTTTTTATAATTTGCATGAAGTCTTATGAGTGATGTAATACACCTGGAGAATAAAAGCAACCAGACTCTTTTTGTTTGGTCAGTTTGCTGTCTCTTTAGAATGTATTGTATTTCACAGGTGATTTTACTTGAGAGCTCCTTAATAAACAACGTGATGAATGTTGAGAGTTTCTCACAGTAGTAGTCCCAATATTAGTTCATGAAGGTTTATCCAATGCACCGTTTGGGTTTTTTTTAAATTTATATGAACAATACTACAACAGAGCAGAAGCATATTCTATCAGAATCTGTATGAAGTGATTGAAGCTCACACTAAAAACAAAGGATTGTTGCCCTTAAAATTGTATAAATGCTCACACCCATTAGTGATAAAGTGTTTAATGACAGTGTTTAGTGTGAGTGCTAGGAAGTGAAAGCTGCTGCTGCTGCCATTGTATCTATAGAGCTACATTATGCTGAGGTACTGAGTGTAATTTGCTTGGTTTGTATATTTGCTGGTTTTTATTAAAGCTGTTACAGTTTTACTATCAGCAGATTTCCAGGCTTGTAATATACATCCACAGTGGAAGTGTTTTGCTATGTGTGAGTGAGTGTGTACCAATACACAAAAGTAACATTTCTGAATTCTACAGGACTCTCTTTTAGACAGGTTTCAGTGATACAGTGTTTATAAATAGAAAGAAAAAGACATTTTGAAAAGTACTGGTGGCACGATGATGTTAAAGGGAGAGTTTTGGAAGAAGTTTTGTGCTACTTTGTAAAATTGCAGGCAATCCCAATACAAGAAATGGTTTAACTTTTCTCTTTTTCCTCTAACCACAGATCCCTTGCCACCAACTCGTTTGGAAATTAATAAGGAAAAGACTACACTCACAAGCTTGCGGGTTCAATGGGTTCCTTCGTCAGGAAAGGTGGACTTGTATAACCTAATACTATTTGATCATGATAATAAAAAGATACAAGAAGTCTCCTTACCAGGAAGAATTTCAAAAACAGAAAATACTTTTTCTAATCTCGTCCCTGGGAATAAATACAACATTGTCCTCAGTGCAGTCGCTGGAAATAGGACTACCCCGGAACTTCACATAAGTGGATATACTGGTAGGACTTTTATTACTGTAGTTCATCTAATTAAAACCACATACAGTATTCTGCAGTTCTGCATTTTGAAATTAGCAAATGTGTATAATTCTTCTACATGGCAAGATATATATATATATATTTGTGGAAGTATGTGTTGATAAATAGAAATAAAACACAAATATCTGACTACCATAAAGAATTGTTTGCTAAGAATGGAGTGATGTTGGTATTGTGTATTTGGGGTTGGGTTTTCACTAACCCTAAAGAAACCAAACATCTTTCAAAAGTAAATCTATTAAAAATTGCTGAAATCGTGGAGATAACCATTAGGACTTAAGCATGTGGTTTTTTTCTATACCAACAGTGCCATCCCCTGTGAAAAATATTCAAGTTAGTGTCAAGACAGACACTATCCATGTTTCGTGGTCTCCTGGCTCTGGGCATGTGGATCGTTACAGGCTGGTGTTACTAGATAATCATGTCTCAGTTCATGAGATTCATCAGGAAGATCCTCTGACCTCCTACACTTTTTCAGGACTTACAGCAGGCCACCTTTATAACCTCTCTGTCATAACCCAGGCTGCAGGATTGGAGAGCAGCAGTTTTCAAACAGTCAGGACAGGTATGATTTCAGAATTTGACACAACAAAACAAGAAGCTAAGGCCATAATCTAATAATATTATAGGACATATTTCAGGATAACAAGTGATTCGTGTTCCAAGTTAGAGACACCGTAAGCTTATTTAACTCCTTAAGTTACTACTCAACAAAGTTAGCAGCTAAATTAGCTCATAGTGTGACTGCAGCTAATTTAGCTGCACTGCTTAATGTGGGCAGCTCTATTAAACATGTCAAGTTAGGTGTTAACAATCTGAGCCTCACTGCCCTGACTCCTGTACCAACTTCTTCAGTGATTTGAGGCAGTGCGTAGTCTGGTTATTTCACAGTACTGAAGACAATTTAACTCCATGATTCATACTTACCTGAATGGGAGATACAGAGCTTGTGAGTTTTTTTTTTTAAATATATTTTCTGTGGCTTTTTTCTCTGAATTTCAAAATAGCTGCACTTCTGAAAAAGAAGTGGAAAAAAATGTGGGGCAGCTTAAGAACTTTAAAATTGAATGTTGATGGTCTGGGGTTGTTTGGGTTTTTTGTTTGCTTGGTTTGATTTGGGGGTTTGTGGGTTGTTTTTTTCTTTTCACAATGAAATAGTGATCCACAGAACTAGGGTTTCAGAATTTTTTTTCCCCTGGAAGGTTTTTCAGGACAGTGTTCTGTGGTCATTAAGATAAAGATAAAATGACATCCTACTGACGTCCAATAGTTAAAACACTTACATAGGCAAAAACAGGGTCATGCCTTTGCTTTCCTTAATTTCTGGGAAGAGCAAGTTACAGTTTTTCCTACAGAAATCTCGTCATGTAGACATAATTTAAGTAAACAATATTGTCGTGTCTAAGACACAGAGATGAGTGCTGTTGTCAGCTGGGCTGTTTTGGGGAGTACTCTTGTTTCATTTTATTTCTTCAGACTTTATTTCTTCCTGTTGCGGGGTGCAGTAACTTTAAATCTCACAGGTATTGTTAGAACCTAGAAGCACTCCATCTAGCCTGCAGCATGGTTTTCCATTTCAGTACCTACTGTGCTTCAGGCCTGAGAAATTAAGATAACTGGAGGTAGTTATGCTTTTCTTTTGGTGAAGCATTTGAATAAAGGATTTTTATTCAAATTCCTTTTAGACTGGTTTAAATCAGACATAGGTGCAGTAATGCTGTACTGTTTACCAAAATGTATACAGGCATCTGTTCTTAGGAGCGTGTGCATGATCTGTTTTATGGTCAAAATGACTAGTCTGAATGCAGACTTGGCTAAAAGATTTTCTGTTCCATGAAATACTAGTCGTCATCATAAGACATGTCTCTCTCAGAAGTACAATGTCTTACACAGGATTGGGTTCAGTTTCCCTTTGACCAGACTTTGCCCTTTCACTGTTCAGGCAAAATTGTCATACTCCATCTCATATAACTGTTCAACGGCAAAACTCAACTATGGAAGTTTGGAGACAGTAGGTCTTATATGTTTTGTGGTTAATGTATTTTATTCTTTTCTTATTTTCTTTTTTTAGCCCCAGCTCAAGTCTTAGATTTGACAGTGACTAATGATGGCAGCTTAGATGCTTTAAAAGTTAAGTGGGGAAGACCTTCAGGAAGCCTCGATTTCTATAATATCACTCTGTCTCATCTTGGATCAGTTAAAGGAGTCAAAATTGTGCAGCCACCAATCACTGAGACTCACTTTGACAAGCTAACTCCAGGACGTCTTTATCAAGTTACTGCCCGCACAATCAGTGGTAAACTGTTTACTGATGGGATAGCAACTGGCAGGACATGTAAGTCTTCTACTTCAGTAAGAACATTGTAACTAACACTATTTTTGCCTACATTGGCCTTGTAGAAAATCATTGTAAGAAAAAATGGTTTGGATTCCAGGCAAAATAAGATAGAGTACAATATTGTTTCAGGAATACCCCCTTCTGACTCTGGCAATAGTTAATCTGTCAGCCAAAAGCAACTCCAGCATATCTTGTAAATAGGCAAAAATAGTGCATTTTGGACCTTATTGTTAAGTGAGTTTGTTACAAAACTGTTGCACGCTATTGCACTTCTGACCAACTTTGTTATCTTAAATTCAACATAACATAGTATACAGAATGAGTTACGTCATGGGCAAGTGTGCATGTAGTCAAATTATTAAGAGTTTTTAAAGTAATTTTGCAAGGTCCAGTCTTATTCCTCTTTCCAGACACAAATCTGCAAACCGGAAGAGATTAAGTCTCAGCTTTCTTTACTGTAAACAGCATGGATTAACAAAGGCATGTGGTAGCCTGGATAGAGCTGGGTTACAAGTTTCTTATTTTCTTTCAGAAGTAATAATTTCCTTTCAGGTATCTCTTGTATGAGTTCTGAACCTGAAAAAAATCCTGGCATAATTTTCCCACAGCATTACTGGACACAGAGATCTGTCATATTCTCCACACCAGCCTAGCCCAAGCCAAAGTTAGACAATAAAAATGTAAAAGTGGCTCAAGAACACATACGTAGATTGTTAGTAGACTCAGAGTCAAAAAATAGAAAATGTGTTTGTTTGTGAGAGAGCAGAGTATTTATTTTAGAAAACATTTCTCATCTACAACTAAACATCTCATGTGAAAGGGACATCCTTGACATATCTAGCTGCTATCTCATTCTCAGGGCAGGCTGGAAGAGCAGTAAGTACAAAGCTGGACTGGTAACATGCCCGTCTGTTTTGTTGGTCTAACTACCATTTAAGTCCTTTAACATTACCATTTCCATCTAAAAGGAGAGCGTCAGGCCTCACTCAATGCCACTGATCCCCAGATTTGTGACCTAGACCCAGTGCTTTGAAAGTTGGGGATTAGAAGTCCCATTTCCAAGGATGCTGATCATGTACAATTCCTTCCTTTGACTCTGCTATAGACACCAAGAGCTTTGAAAACACTTCAGCAGAAGTTCAGTGGCCTAAGGATAAACTTGTAAATCCAGGTTGCCAGGTCTGTAGATACTCTTAGACTCTCTCTGTGATTCACAGAGACAGCCAGGTACCCAAGAACATAATACACATTGCTGTGTATTGAGGAGGTGGCTAAGGCGGCAGAACCTGCCAAGGAATGTCGTGGTGAGAAATATGGATATCTCAGAGACTGAAACTTTTTACCATACAGGTCTAAGGATATCCAACCAGCCTGACAAGGCTGAACTTTATCTGTTATGATGTAAGTGCATCTGTGTTTCCTAACAAAACACTGTGTGCTTTTATTCACTCACTCAGCAATTGAAACACATCGTCCATATTCACTGGCATGTGGGAGTTCTAGGTTTGATACCTAGATACCCATGGGAAGTGAAACTGGTGAGTATTTTGTGGTGCTGGTAGAAATTTTGCAACCCTGTGCTAGGTACTAAGCAATTAGGTATTAACTAAGCCAGATAAAACAGGAGTGCATGATTCTAGCATTGTAGTTTACAGTTAATACTTGATAATGGTCTCAGGGCTCCAATGCTGATCTTTGAGTATCTTAAAACTAAGCTAGAGGTATCCTGACCTATGGATCTGCATCTGTCTTCCAATCTCTGCTTGATGTGGCTAATATTTCATTATTTCATGAAAATCAGAAAAAATTCAGTGGTTCAGTGTGACCTGCAGCAGTAGGGCGAGAAGGTTGAGCATGTAAAGTCAGGACCCTTGAAGTGCAGGGCAGGATGGAGTAGATGCTTTAATGGACCTCAATTTTAACTGGTACCTTACAGCTGGGAGGAATTAGGACATACGAAGGTGGAAGAAGCCATCTTTGTGGAGGAAGCCATTGGACTTTGCATTTCTGCTACTGAGACCAGAATTTGGCCCGTAGCAGTTGAGGTTTTGACTTTAGCTGTGAAAAATTGAGTGAAACTTTCTGCGTGAACTTAAGTGGAGGAAGCAACAGGGAAGTTAACTGAAAACCAAGAGATGCACCTGAGAAATGCACAGGGGAGATTTTGCCTGCCCTAAGAAGGGTTCTCCATTTCTGATGTCAAAAAACCAGCAGGAAAAAAGTGAGTGGTTTGTGTGGGGAAGAGTAAAAGTTGTCTTTAAAATAAAAGCCAACCTTTCCAACAAGATACCTCACATTGCTCTAGCTGGTCCAAGTGCTTGTACACTAGCTATACTGCAAGACAGGTTTTTCCATGGTGCAGTTATGTCTCACCAGAAATACTCCGCTTCAGAATTACTTTTTTACTCTGTTCTTCCAGTTCCCCAGAAAGTTTCGGAGCTGCAGGCCGGCGCTAGCGGCTGGCTGAGGTCGCTGCGAGTGACCTGGCTGCCCCCTGCGGGAGACTGGGAGAGGTACCACCTGCTCCTGTGGAACCGCACAACCCTTCTGCTCAACACCACCCTCGAGAAGAACGCTACCGAGTACCTCATCTGCGATGTGGGCCTCATCCCGGGCAGGGAGTACGGCGTGGATGTTGTTGTGGAGAGCGGTGATTTGCAGAGCAAGGCTAGTTGCACAGGGAGAACAGGTCAGTGTGCCTATCCAGGCAGTGTAAGAGTGCAAAATGTTTGACTGGGCTGTGAACACTACCTGAAAGACTATTTGGGAATCCACAGACAAATTTCACATTAATATAGTAAAAAGGAGCTCCCTTGTAAACTACAGAAATAATTGGTTTTAGCAGTTCTTTGAAAACCAGGGTTATTTTTTGTGGTAAATGTTTTGTTAGTGAAAGTTTTAGGAAAGTTTTAGGAACTATTGCCATTCTGTCATGACTGTGGCCTTACATTACATCTGCACTTCACCTGTTATATTTGATAGCTGATTGGAGGCACCCTATAAAGTTCTTAAACAGAGCAGTACAGGTCTTCCTGTATTGTTCATCAGTATGTTTCTTTGCCAGTCTGTATAAAGAATATCAACAGTGTTAACCAAAGCTTCCTGAGGTGTATGTTAGTATGTCTGTTCCATAACATCCCAGTTCTTGTTCCTTTGCTCCATAAAGAAAATCAGGTTAGTCTGTTCAAGTCAGTCTTCCCAAAGGAAATCCATATACACTTCAGGGAGTGGAATTCTTTCGCAGTTTGTTAGTCAAAGCCACAAATGATTGCTTCAAACTTAAAAAATAATTGTAATATAATTGTTAGAATTTCTGCTCTATGGATGCAAAATAAGTGCAATTCAGAGGAAAGCAGACCTGAAGGAGGAGTAACAGGTAAGGCTCAAGCCTAAGCCTTACCTCACTGCAGAATGTGAGATAAGATAGGGCCACTCTACTTTTTCCTCACCTTTCCTTGTGTCCATCTTTCCTGCTATACCCTTACCTGTCATTTCTTGAGAATGTAATTTGTTAATTTTTCACAACAGGAAGACTAGTAGAAACTACAGAACTGAAGCTTTCTCTAACTTCTAGTGAATTTGGTGAGAGCAAGGCACATTCTCATCTTCCTTTCCTTGACATATATTGCAAATAATTTATGTTTATGGTGTTACTTTAACTGACTCAACTAAGCCATTAATAGTTGGGTTCAGTGATCTTAGAGGTCTTTTCCAACCTAAGTGATTCTATGATTCTGTAATTAGGACATAGTCCATTAGATAATACCCAGCAGTGGGTGTATCACAACTGTGTTTGACCCACAGTCAGGTCCATAATGTGTCTTTTATGAAGCACAGGTATTAGGTCCTGTTGTGATTTAATTTTCTCTTACATAAACCCACAGTCTTGGGAAGTGAGTTATATTTCAGTGTGACAGAGACAGAATTAGATTGGAGACTCCTTTAGGTAACAGATGCCTGCTGTGTATGCATGCGCACATACACACGTGAATACACACAGAAGTTCACTGATCAAATTCTTTCTTTTATACCACTGTAAGTTTGAAGTGTCTCTCAACTTGACTAAGCTGTAAACCACTGTGAAATCAATGTCCCTCTGACTCTATAATTTGCATCCTTGTTTGTTACAACTAAATTAGGGAAGATTCGTCTTATGGTACATATGTCTTCTATCCCTGTCTAGCACCCAGAGTTCAAGAGGAAGTTCACTGACTTCCCTGCGTTTCCATTTATACTAAAATATATATCCTTACGTAAGTTTAAACCTAAGCATTACAGCCGTAGTCCGTTGCTGAAGTCTGCTGCTTCCAGCCCTTTGCTGGAAGGGTAGCACAGATACTAGATTTATGAGAATGGCTTCCTAGAGAAAGGTAAAGAATCTCTTCTTGACTGCAAATACTCTGTTGCTGTCACATATCTGTCTTGCAGAACAGATTTTTTACAGCAGCTTGAGGCGTGGCAAGTGCGTTCACTGCAAAGTCCTGTTCTCCTTGTGATATTTGTGTACCTTTACAGCTCCAGAGCCTGTTCTCCAGCTCCGTGTGAAGCATGCTAATGAATCTTCACTTACTGTCATGTGGATGACCCCTGTTGCAGAATGGGACAGCTATGTGGTTTCCCTGGGAGACAGTGATCTTGCTATCATAAAAAAATTGCTTGCAAAAGAAGCTAAGGAATTCACTTTCACTGACTTGGTACCTGGAAGAAAATATACAGCTACCATCACTACCATTAGTGGGACTTTAAGCAACTGGACTTCAGTGGAAGGAAGAACAGGTATCGTCTTGTCAAACAGTTTTAATCTTTTCTTCTGTTAACCACTAATGATTTTCTTTGCTTTGTATGAATTAACTCGATGTCTGAATCTCAAAAATCTTGATCTTATGTTTTTTTCAGATGTTGTGTTTCTGAGCCTCTGATTTTTGACTGTCAGTTATCTTGCAGTATTTATTTAAGATTTTGGGGAAATGGATGTGTAATTCCTGGCAAAACAGTTTTCTGAAGTATTATGTCATGTCTAATCAATCTCCATTAGCACAAGATTCCATAAAGAAGAACAATTTTCACTGTGTATTTTCAGGAAGGTCACTTCCTTGTTTCAAAAGCATTCATCATCTAGGAAAAAAACCAAACATCACGACACAGGAAAATGTTACTTTAGGGGAAACATTCTGAGGTTGACAGACACAAAACATATGTGACCTTGAAGATGTATTTTGAATCTTTCTGCTCTTTGGATTCCAGAATATGTATCTGTTATGGGTATGATTACTGTGTCACAAGAAAGGTCCCATTCCCACCCCCTGCAGGGTGATAATTTTGTGCAGGTGTACAAGTTTTATATCATACATGATGCTTTACTCTGCTTCACTTAAAGGTTCTCCAGTGCAAACGAAGTTTTAAAATGTAGCTCTGGTCTGGCACAGCACAGTGAAAAACGATCTGCTAGTATCTGAATCTAATCATACCTATGACCACTATGGGATAGTGGTCCTTGCTTAAATTTTGTTACTCCTTCTGAGGCCTGATAAGTTTAACTTACACATTCTCTGCTATGTGATTAGATAGCTGGAATTTCACTTCCATCTGACTTATGCCCCTTTAGGAGGCCTATTCAGGCATAAAGGTTATGGCGTCCCACTTCACCGGTATGAATCAATGCTTGAAAACACATCAGACAGGGATAATGTGGCAACATTACATTCAAAATGAGTTAAAAGGACTCACCATTGAACGTAGGTTCTAATAAGCATTCCAAACCTCTGAATCTTCCTCGCAGCTGGACAGGCTTGAAAAATACTGCTGGAAATATGACAGAAATAGGTCTTGCATGCATCCCAGATTGGTCAGCTTCCAGTGAAGCCTGAGGTATCACTAAAAGTGCATTTAGTGCAGAAATGTGACACTTCAGTGTCTTGTTGGAGCTTACTATGTCATGATAGCATTATAAAACAGGAAGGATTTTTGATTCAGTTTTTTATCAATAAAATAAAATAAAGAGTTTTATACATTTTATACATTTAGAATCTCCTGCATTTCAGTTGTGCTTGGTACTGTAAGCAGAAATACTTAGTAAGAAGTAACTGTATTTCCTTGGTTTGTCCAAATGTTGTCAAATTAAATAAGGAAAGAGGATTTGGGGTAAAGTTTGGGCAACATATTACATTCCTTTGTTATTTCTTTGTCCTTTTTGGTCAGACTAGATTCATGAGCTTATACTTGGATAAATGCTATGTTTGTTTAACAGTTCATATTTTGATGCTATAAAAGTTGGTATCCTGCAGATCTTCTGATGTAAAAAGTAAAGCCAAAACCATCCTTCTCAGTTGCACCCAAAATTAAGGAGTCTGACACAGCATAGATGACTGTGCCTGGGGTATTCCTTAAACAAGCTTGACATTTATTAGAAATGAAAGATGGGTAATAGGAGAGAGAAGAGAGGATGAAAGACACATACTGTATTTGAAATAGTCATCAAAAAAAACTTGTGATTTCCTAAATTGATGGCTTTTGTTTAATAATATTTATAAAATGCCATCTCTTCCAGTTCCCTAATCTTGAATCATTTTGGTCTGGCTGAGAAAAACTGTGCTAAAGCCTGAAAGACCTTTTTGTGACTTACTTAGTTTCCCATAGACCACATCCCACCAGACAGGAAGCAGTCCACAGTTAGATTATTTTTAGTCCTGTTGAGTCTGGCTGCAAATTGGAATGTTCTTTTGATGCACTTCCTCACTGTGACTAAACTTGGGTTCTTTGGGGGATTCTGTTTTATTTTGTTTCTCGTCAGTAACATTAAGACAATTTTCTTTTCAGTGCCAGCCCAAGTGACTGATCTGACCGTGGCAAGTCAGGGATCAACCAACAGCTTGTTCACCAACTGGACAAGAGCACTGGGAGATGTAGACTCATACCAAGTGCTACTGATTCACGAGAATGTTGTCATTAAAAATGAGACTGTTCCCAGTGAAACCAACAGATATCACTTCTATGCTCTGAAACCTGGAGGACTCTATTCAGTTGTTGTCACCACTGTCAGCGGAGGGATATCTTCAAGGCAAACAATTGCAGAGGGAAGGACAGGTAAAAAGGAAAATACTCCAACGTGTCTTTTGTTAGTTCTTAAAAGATTAATTTATTAGAGAGAATGGTCTTACGATTAAACCACTGCACCGAGAATCCAGAAATACGGGAATTTCATCTATATAATTCCTGTTTGTGACCTCAGGCACACTGTGGGTCCAGATTCATGTAAATATAGCTTTAGGGAGCTGACTGCTCTGCCTACAACAGGAACTCCATACAGCAGAATCACTCCATAATAAAAGACCAAAATATACCCTGAGCGTAATGTACAGCTGTGGTGGTGAATCACTCCTTGGAACAGACGTTCTTGTTCCATTGACTGCATGGTGGTGTAGGGTTATTGCTTCTTACTTAGGTGTGCCAACTATCTGCCTAAAGGTGGTGGGATTAATTTGTGTTTCAGTTGACCCATTCTTTTTCTCTAATGCACCATCAAAGAATGTCTGCCAGAGTTAGGGATTTACTATTGCATTGAATTCTCTTAAGTTTAAACACTCACTTCACCCTTTATGTGAATTTGGCAAAGGCCAAGAATTCTGCAGTTTGCTCTAATGTTCTCCTTGAAAACAACTATTTTCAGGGGAAAAAACAAAAACAAACCTGAAAAAACAACTGGAGAAGAATAACACTAAAAGGCTTAAAGTACATAAACATATTTTGTAAAATCTGAGTTCTTTGTCTCTGACAACTGATGGCCAGCCCCTCTACTGAGGTTCAGTGCATCAAAGTCCAGTGAAAACGTGGCAGTTCATTATTTTTAAGCTCTGCCCTTCTAATATCTCTGAGAGTTCAGTACATGAGTGATAGTAGTTCTGGCAACGTGGAGCCTTCGAGCTCACCTAAAAAAACAAGTGGCATTCATGTTTTGGCCACTAGACGTCAGAGAACTCACTGGAAATGAAACACATTCAGCTATGGGCCTCAAGGTCCTACAAGCCTCAGTAGTTATTGCTGTTACTGAGAAATAGCAATTTGAGAGGATAGCTCAACTTCTGGGATTTTAGAAGTGCTAGGATCATGCCACCAAAGACAATTTATTTCACTGTGTTCAAAAAAGCAGTTGAACATGGCTAAGTGATAATCAGTGCAGAACTTTCAGGAGTCCCAGACTGCTTATTTTGCAGGGGATAGTATTCCAGGCATTCCCACAACAATAAGAGTTGACTAGTTAAAGCTGTTTTGGTTTTTCCTCTTTATTGCACAGTTCCTTCTAGCGTGACTGGAGTAACAGTAAATAACTCAGGTCGCAGTGACTACCTCAGTGTGTCTTGGCTGCCAGCTTCTGGAGATGTAGACAATTACTTGGTAACACTCTCTCACGATGACCAGATTGTTCAGACTCTGACCATTTCCAAATCCTTCAGTGAATGCTCCTTCAGCAGCCTTACTCCTGGAACGCTTTACAATGTGATGATAACCACGAAGAGTGGGAAATATGAAAATTACTCCTTCAGCCAGGAACGAACAGGTAAAGAGAGGCTCTGAGCAAATCCAGTCACTGTAACCACTTTGTACAGCCATTATCAATCTGGGATAGATGTGTAGGAGTTGGAGGGTCAAACCATAAAATTACAGCTTTATAGACTTAGTTTTATTCTTATGCCTTTAAGTTGCTGCTTTATGTCCTACAAAAATACTTTAGTGTGAATAAAAATCATGTGTCAGTCTTTAGGAGTGAGCAGAAATCATGTATCAGTTTTTGACTCAAATGTGTTATCCTGCCCCTAACCCCTCTACTTGGCTTTTCAACTATATCCTGGAGAGCATCTCCTTAGAAAGTTACTCAGGCACTGAAAGAACAGGTTAGGATAGGCTAACTAGTGCAATGTTAGCAAGGTATCACAGTCATGAGTAACATCCATGTCAGTTGGTTTTGGGGCTGTGACACACGTCTATGGTTTTGGTCACGCTGAGTTCCAGAATGTTGTAACAGGAATAGCGAAATCTCAGAAAAGGCTGGCAGTAATGATGGAAAACTTTTTAAAACTTTCTCAAAGATTGAAAAGACCGAGACTTTACACTTGGTAAACCAGTAGAATAAAAGGAAGATGGTAAGGGGTGTTAAAATGACAGAGTATCAAGTTAGTGCAATTTTAGTCTTCTCATGATGTAAGTGAAAATCCAGGAGACAACCACGTAAATAAGAAGGACTAAATTCAGGATTAGTGTGAACCTGTGGAACTCAGTACTATAAGCAAAACTGACCAAGTTCCTTGAGACCAAAAATTGAAAAGGCAAACCATTGTCATATGATGTAAAGCAACCTGGAAACTGCAGTTACTCTTTTATTGCTTAAATCCACTTTGTGGTCTTTTTGCAACTTCCTTAAAAAAGCATGGTAATTACCACAAATATAGTCCACTACCGCAACTCCTGTTACTTCAGGAAGTTACTGCTTTGTGAAGCTCTAACTGCGTTTTTTTCCTTTCAGTCCCTTCAAGTGTTCAGGGACTTACTGTCAGCAATTCAGCCAGAAGTGACTACTTGAAGGTGTCCTGGTTACATGCATCTGGATATTTTGATAATTATGAAGTCATCATCAGGAACAACTACGATTTCATCCAAACAAAAAGTGTCCCAAAGGATGAAAATGAATGTGTGTTCACTAATCTGGTCCCAGGGAGGCAGTACAGTGTCACGGTCAGCACAAGGAGTGGGAAATACGAAACTAGTGAAAGGGTCTATGGCAGAACAAGTAAGTAAAAACCCTGGTAACATTCTGAGACACCCCTGGTTTTTTTGTGTGGGGTTTTTTTTTTATTTCCCATACCCAGGCACAAAAATCTGATATGATTTTAACATAGAATGTTGACTGTGTCTCTTTGAATGTATATTATTCAATACAGAAATAAATACAGAAAGCAGTATTTAGTTTATGACCAGCTGTTAAGTTACAAACATATGAAAAATGAATGAAGAGACCTGTGCTGTGATTTTGGAAAGCAAATCTTGAACCATTGAAAACTGGAAAATAGTGGTACAGTAAGCTTACTATTTGTAATTAAATTATGCCAGAATGTACAAGACAGTTTTTTCTGGTCATAGAAATGTATAAGGAAGAAGATAGACTAGACCTCAATCTACTCAAATTACCCCAAGAACTGGAGCTGGAGAGCATGGAACAGGGGTAGAAAGGTGGCTAGTTGGGAGCCAGCAGGGATCTGGAGGCAATCTACCTGTCTTCACCTGGCACTGCATGTGAGTTAAGGAGCCATGCTGAGACACTGAGTTTATTAACACGGATGTAGCACTGGGCAAAAATAACTGACCTGTATCTGGCAGAAGTTGGAAACTGCACATTGTGGTGCTGCACCCCACAGATGGATTGCTTTGGCTCTGCGCTAGCTCAGGCCTCTTTGCACCATATTTGTTGTACATGAGATCTTACTCGGTTTCTGTTGACTAGGCAAACTCCCTGCAGGCTCCATTATTATTGATTTATTATTTTTATGCTGATAGATTGAGGACTCCTGTTCTGAAATGGGACCTTCTAGTGTTAGACAGGGTGCAAACCACCCAAATTACTGCAATCTACTGCTTTTCCTAGGGAACTAAATGAAAAATTTTAGCTCAAAAGCGTGGCTTCAGAGCTGTTAGCTTTTTGCTGTGATCTGTTAGTAAGTACTGAGAAGTTTCCTTCTTTCTTCTCACCTCTTCAGTGCCAGAGTCAGTGAAGGAACTGACTCTTAGTAACAGGAGCACAGAAGATCTTCAGGTAACTTGGTCAAAGGCTGAGGGGGATGTTGATAAATATGAGATTCAACTCCTCTTCAATGATATGAAGATCTTCCCACCCATTTTCCTTGGGAACACCATTGAGGAGTATTGGTTCACAGCTCTGACTCCAGGACGTCTATACAAAATTCTTGTCTTGACCATCAGTGGAGATGCACAACGTGCTACTTTCATAGAAGGCCTGACAAGTAAGAAATAATGTGGTATTTAAAATGTGTTAAGCTTCTCTAGAATGAAGCGCTGAAAATCAAAGGTGAAGCATGATCTTATTTGAGCTCCAGTGTTACAACACTGGTTCAAAGACAGCAGATCGCATTGAAAATCACACTTGTACTACAAACAACTTGATCTGTTGCTTGATAAACAAATTTCACAGTTACCAATATTTGATTATTGGCAGATCATCTGGTTTGTTGCATGGGAATGGTATTGAGATATCAGCATTTGGGTTTCTGTTATTCCCATGCATGCCAGTTGTTTGCTCAGTATCTGTAGCTAAATCGCTATCTATTTTACACCTGTTACCCACCTGAAATGAATGAGTGGGATAATAACTGCAGAATGGCTAATTACCTAAGGATACATGAAGAGGTTTGAATTTTTTGAGATGTTTTTAAAATATCATTTGGACAAGAGGGAGGTTATGCAAATAAAATGAGGCAGAAACTGTTTATGTTGTATTTTCTTTACTTTTGCTCCTATGAAAACAGAGAATTGCTTTTCTAAAATGGCATAATCCTACACAAATGTCTTACACTTTACTTGTGTTTACCTATGGGTGAAATTACTCGTACCTGTAAATGATCTTTGTCCTTTGAATCATCTGCTGTGGCCATTAAAAGGTAGAAAGTAGAAAGTCTGGATCGAACAGAAAATTTGTGAGCAGGTGCCTTTTTGTTCCCTTTTTTTTCCAGTTCCAAGCGTGGTCAGAAACATTCACGTGTCACCTAATGGCATGACAAACAGCCTGAAAGTAAGCTGGACTCCTGGAGGTGGAGATGTTGATTCCTATACAGTGACCATATTTCAGCAAAACCATCAGCTCGATTCCCAGAGTGTCTCCAAACATGTTTCTGAGCACACTTTTCACAAGTTGGAAGCTGGGGAACAGTACCAGGTGGTGGTGCAGTCTAACAGTGGCACCTTGCACAACAGCTTAGCAGCTTTTGGGAGAACAAGTACGTTTCTTTTGAGACAAGAAGCAAGTTGCATTATGTCTTCCCAGAAACTGACCCTTATTCAATAATGTTTATTATGTCCAATAATGTTTATGTACCATTGGATATGGGGACACCCAGACTCATGAGTGACTTATTAGACTTTATATCAAAGAGCATGAGTCATGACTCTTGCAAACACTTAGCATGGGTCTGTTAATACCAGTGAGATGTGTCACGTGAGTAGCTTTACCTGAGTCAATGTGTGTGTAATTCAAGTCCCCAGCCCAAAGTCTGCCTTCATGGGATGAGTTCAGTCTCATCCCTCTCATATTTTAGTAGAACCCCTTGCAGGGTCAAGGCTTGTTAGACAATGTATTGCTCCAGTATCCTGCATGTCAGAACATACAAAACAATGCAACAGCTTACTTTTAATCTATCCTCTCTCTTTAGCATCTACATGTGTTAATTACCTGTGGCCTTGTGCAACAGCTACTGGCTAACATTTTCTGTTCTATGCCACTATGTTGCACTAATTTACAGTTTTATCTTTCAGTTGTTTCTCATATGCCTTTCTTAACTGTTTCAGTCAGTTCACCTCACTCTCCTTCTCCCTCTTTTCATGATAGTTTGTAGATATCTGTTGTTTCCCCATGCCCACGTCAGATGTCCATGATGTTCTTTACATTTGTCTGATTGTATTTATGTCTAGGAATTATTTGTGTTGATAAACATATGCACAAATTCCTTTTCCCACAAGTGAACTTGAAAGTGTATGAAGTTATGTTCTATTAATTACTTCATTCACATTTGTTTATTGAATGGTCTGTATTTCACCTGGTAATGTCCTGCCTTTAATTCTTGTTTCCAGTTCCAGCCCCTGTCCAGGAATTATTAGCCGATCATGCTTACAGCAGTCATTCCTTGTTAGTAACCTGGCAGAAAGCTCCTGGTGTAGCTGAAAGATATGACATTCTGCTCTTGAATGAACAAGGAGTCCTCCTGAGCAACAAATCAGAGCCAGCTACTGCCAAACAGCACAGATTTGAAGATTTATTAGCTGGCAAGAAGTATAAAATACAAGTTTTGACAGTCAGTGGTGGGCTCTTCAGTAAGCATGCAGAAACTGTTGGCCGAACAGGTAATTAGAGCACCTTGGTTTTTTTTATAGTTCCCTTAGTCAGATATCATTAAATACATAAATCATCTGTATATCTTGATTCTGGAAAGATTCTAGTAAGGAACAAACCTCAGATATTTATGCATCATTTTTCTTGATATGTGCTTGGTATGTGAATCTGAAATTTGTTATCATAATAATATGACCATGGTTCATAATAACGATATTAAACCAAAGTTCTGAATGCTTCCCTCGGTCTGTCTGTTATGGAACTACCTGAATGCTTTATTGTCATCAAGTTTTTAAATCACAGTCTCAAGGCCCTTAGTGCAGGATTTGACTCACTGGCATCTCATAAATGCTTTCCTCTTGTTTCTGACAGTTGTTGCTGATGTTACTTAGCTACTTGTGGCTTAACTGAGATTTATTCCAGCCATGAGTTGTTACTTTAGTAAAGGTTCAACTTAGTGGCTAGACTCTTTGGTATTTACTCTTGCATTTATCCTTCTTTTCAGTTCCAGCAGCTGTTACGAATCTGAAAGTCACAGAGAACACCACTGATCGACTGTCCTTCAGCTGGACCACCTCGCAAGGGGAGCTTGATTCATATGACATCTTCCTGTACAACCCAGACAAATCCCTTCATGACAGGATTTCAGGAGAGCAGCACCTCCAGCAGTGTTCATTCCAGAACCTGCGTCAAGGCAGGATGTATCGAATGGTGATTGTTACCCGCAGTGGAGACCTCACTAATGAGTCATCTGTCTTTGGAAGAACAGGCAAGAACATCTAAGAAAACCACCTGTGCTCATGGGGGACACCAGTGAGCTGGTCTGAGTCTGATGCTCATACTAAGCAACTTTTAAAAGTAACAAAATTGTCTCTTATGTTTAAAAAGCATTAGATAAATAAAAAGGTAAATTCTGAATGATGTGGTTACAGCAGGAAAAATGAAGTGAAAAACATTACAACAGTTTCCAAAAACCTAAGTCAGGAAAAGAGCATATCAGTGTACGCTGCTTAAGCCTTAAGGGGAAATGGCTGTCTCCCATCCTAAAAGCAATATTGGTCTATGAGTGGAAAAGGCAAAAAGGCAAACCAAGTAGGGTTAATGGAGTTGGCAATCTACCAGTGAAATAAAACTTTTTTCCCATGGGGAGCTCTAGCTGCAGCTTTGTGTTTGTTCAGACACATGTGGGAAGCAGAGTTTTCTAAGCAGCTCTACCACTCTGTGAAACTTTTCTTTATTCTTCTGAGGCACCATATAGTAATCCCTCCATAGGACCATGTCTGTGCAGTGGTGTACTTTCTTCAGCTGTCTCAGAATTGAATGTTTCCAAACACTGACTGGGAAAAAGCTGCTTAACACTTGCAAAACTATCGATTATAAACATTTCAACCTCTCTTGGGAACAGAGGCCATTCAAAATAAGAAAGGAAGATACTGATGCTACCAGGATGCTTCCTGGTGCTTCCTGGCATTCTGGCCAGCTGTGGTGGCTACCTACTTTTATTACATGATGATTGTTACAGGATAAGTGTACAGTCTGTTTGCTTCTTCTCACCCTACAGATGTTCTAAATAAAACAATACTCATTCCTGTTTTTTTCAGTACCTGCCCCAGTTGTTGGTCTCAAGGCATCCAACCGCAACATGACGGACAGTCTGTGGTTCACCTGGGGTCCGGCAGCAGGAGATGTTGACTTCTATGAGCTGAATCTTTACAACCCAAATGGGACACAGAAAGAAACCTGGCAAAGGAAAGACCTGAAAGAGTGGCATTTCCAGGGGCTCATTCCTGGCAGAAAATACACTTTGGTTGTGGTGACTCACAGTGGTGACCTGACCAACACAGCAAAAGCTGAAGGAAGAACAGGTATGGGATTTTTTTTTTAGTCCCATTTGTCTGAATTCATATTAGTTCAGAACTGTGCAACAGACCTACTCTGAGGAAGGATTTATTATATAAGTTATTGAAGGTGAAAAGATAATAACCTTAAGTACATTAAATTGATGGAGTGTGAAAGAAAAACAGTCATCACTGTTTTTCTTTCAAAGGCTCAGGAATATGTAATGTCCATGAAGGTGACCATCATCAGCACAGGTTTGGTAGCTGGCTGTGTACACAGGATAACACAGACTACTTTGTGCTGCATGAAGAAAATAATACGTTTCATCTTATTTGTCTTGTGTAAAAATTCGTTAAGAATCATTTTTCTTCTTTCCTTTTTTCCCGTCTTTCTGTGTAGCACCCAGCCCCCCTAACACCGTATCGTTTACTGATGTTGCAAACACTTCTTTATCAGTCACTTGGCTGGGTCCTCCAGACTGGACAGACTATGACGATTTTGAGTTGCAGTGGCTTCCAAAGGATCCCCTCACAGTATTCAATCCCTACAGCAGCAGCAAATCTAAAGTACGCATCATCTATGGCCTGCGACCAGGAAGACTCTATGAGTTCAGCGTCAGAACTGTCAGTGGTGACAACTGGAAAACATACAGTCATTCACAGTCTGCAAGTGTGAGAACAAGTAAGTAACGGTTCCCATTGCACCCACACTCAGCTGGAGAAGATGCAAAACTCTTAAATCTTACCGGTTTGTTAGTCAGTAATCTCTATTAATTAATTCATTCATTTAGTGGTGAATTCAGCTAGATTCTAAGCTCTTGCTGTGTGCAAGGTCAACTGTTTAAAAGATTGAAAATGCACGTACATTTATAATCCTCACATCCAGAGTGGGACTGTTTGGTTGCAGAGCTTGAATCAATCAGTTTCAAGGGTAAAATAAGGTTGAATATCCAAACTTGTCTTGACAGTAGAAATTGCAATAAAATGTTTCTGAGTGATAAGACAGGAAGGATGAATGAAACTGTGCTGTTCTAGGTTTGAAACTGGAATCAGAGTGTTTCACTGCTCTGTGTTTCTGCCTGAATTTGTGGATGTGTATCATCTCTAGCAACCTCAGTAACAGGCTGATTCGAAAAAGTGACCTGGAATTGTAAAAATAACTGAGTCTTGGCAAATCCTCATGTCATTTGGGATGGGATTCAGCTTTCATTTGATATCTGTTTAGTAAGCTGTATAGCTTTGTAGATTTAATTCTGCATATTAATTAAAATTTCACCTGTATTTAATCACTTAAATGTAATGTCTGCCATCTGAAAGTGATATCCTGTTTTTATTATATGTGACATGTTATAAATGGTGCTCCCATATTACATGGATGAAGCATAAGTCTGTGGTATGTTTTAGTAATATGGACACAGCACATTCTACCCAGGAAACCAGATCAGTCATGAGATTACACTATCAGTATTGCCTGGTACTGATGACCACATGTAACCTCCAAATAAGTTGTAAAAGCATGCTAGAAATCCATTGCTTTGCAGTGTTGCTGTTCTTGTTAAGACTTCAGTAAGTAGGTTTTCTTGCCTTGTTTTCACAATTAATTACTGAAGCTTCACGAACCTGATGGGGCTGATGTCACTAGATCTGATTTCAGAATGGCTAAAATGAGTTAGAGGGCCTTGTGTAGTAATCAGACAGCACACATTTGCAGGAGAGGTGGGAATTCTGACTCCCACCCTCCTGCTCTTACCTAATGGTTAATGCAGAATCTAGGAGCTGTAGTGTGAGCAGAGAATGTACGATGCCTGTCCCTTTTCTCACTGAGCTTCAACTTCTCAACATTTCTCTAGAACCAGACAAGATACAAAGTCTTCACTGTCGGCCCCAAACCTCTACTGCCATTGCGTGTTCCTGGACTCCTCCTGATTCTGACTTTGATGGGTATAGTGTCGAATGCAAGAAAATGGACACTCGTGAAGTGGAATTTTCTAAAAGGATAGAAAAAGACAAATCTCTACTTAATATCATGACCCTGGTTCCCCACAAACGATACCTGGTGTCCATCAAGGTGCATTCTGCAGACATGACGAGTGAAGTAGTTGAAGACAGCACCATCACAATGATCGATCGTAAGTGGAATTCTGGGTTGCCCTGAAGAGAGGCAGTGAGCAGCCATAAGCAGTTGCTTGTGTTGGTTAGACAGCAAAAGGAATTCTGAACTCCACAATTGTCAATTTGTGGCACTTATAAGCTTGTGGCTGAAGTAAACTGAACCTGTCCTTTGGTCCCTGCTGTGACAGGCAGTGCAGGATTTTGCCTATATTGCCTCTCATTATATTGCCAGACCCAATTATTTGGCTCATTAATGAAATATAACCTGAGAAACATGAACAGTTATCCCATCACCCTGTCCTCATCATCACACGCCTTCAGTTGTCTTCATGGATGTTGCTTGGCTTCCTGTGTCTGGCCATTTCCTCTCACGGATTGGAGGATGGAAACCATCCTCAACACAGATATGCATCAGTAAGGACGCTGGATTGTGGTACTGTGTTCTCTTTGGGTTTCTGTACAGTCTTCTGAGGTGCTACTTAACCAAATCACCTGTAGGAATTTTACATGAGGGAGGATCACAGATATCCATAGCATATGTTTTGAACCAGCTTCTTCAGTTTCTCCACCCGTAGGCTGCTGAGTGGAGGGTAGCGGTAGCATCTGCTGATGCCTCTGAACTGCAAGGCATCACTGCAATCAGCAGCCTGCTCCAGGTTTTGCAGTACGTCAGGATTCAGTGACACAGCGCAGTGCAAAAACTTGAACTCTTGCAGGGCTAAACTTCTCAAAAATGACAAGATGGCCATGAAACCTGTATTCAGGATGCCTCTATAGCTGCTTATTAAAGGCACATTTTTTGAAATACTAGATCATAAAAATAATGTTTGCTTTGGGAGATACTGAGCTAAGCTACAGAGTTCAGTCACCAACTCACCTCCATTCCGCCATCAATTGCCATCAATTGCAACCTTGTAATCTCCTTCCTCTACCACAAAGAGTGTTACAAATGCAGATGTAGTAACAACTAGCTATTCTTGTCACAAGAAGTGAGACTGAGTCCTATTTGAGGGTTAGCTGTTTCACCTTTGTTCTTGTTTGTGTTTCATGTGTGTTTATCACTTATTTGTTTTGAACACTGCTCCTCTCCCAGACCCTGGTTAACACTGGAGACCCCATCTCAAGGGAACAAAAAAATTTGCAGCTAGGCTTTGTGGAGGTTTAGCTAAATTAGGAGGTTTAGCTAAAGTACATATAAATGTGTGAATTATTGGTTCTTTTGAAATTTAGCCACTTTTTTACATATTTGATATTTCCCGTATGTGCAATATAGTTTTAGTAATACAGATTGTTAAAAGATTCAGCAATGTAGATCCTTAAATTCCCCACTTTTGCCACACTTCCTTCCCTGTATACTTCGCTTTTCAGTTTACTTTTGCTATGTCACTGTTCAAGGTATACCTTTGTATCATATGAAGAACATTTCCTATGGAAATTCTGCAGTCAGTCTGGAAAATGGTACTCTGTAGTTGAATGCTGTGTCTGGCTGACTCTGTCTGTTCCTCTGGAAAAGGAAGCAGCAGTGTAGATGCTTAAAATAGGTAAATTCCTGTAGTGAGTGTGCTAAGTGGCCTCCAAATGACTATCTTAAACTTGTGTCATTTTTAGTAGCTACAATTTCTGATTTCGTAGACTTAACAAGATTTTAATGCGTTTCCATTTAGGCTTCTGCAGGAATTCCCACTGAGGATCTGTCACTGTTATTATGGTGAACTCACTACTGGCTTGTTTCATCTTTTGGCAGTTTCCCTGTGGGAGGTGAAGACACTTCCTTGTTTGCAAAGAGAATAGAATCAGAGACTTGGATCCAGGCAGCTGAGATTTATTAAAAGTTGCATTTCCCTTGCTAGATCTAGCTCACAAGTACACAGGTAATGCTTTCTCTCTATTTTTTATTTATTTATTATTTGTTTTAATTACTCAGGTCCTCCTCAGCCACCTCCAGACATACGAGTGAACAAAAGAGAGGTACTGATTACCAAATCCTCCATCAACTTTACTTTTAACTGCAGCTGGTTTAGTGATACTAATGGAGCTGTGAAGTACTTTACTGTGGTTGTGAGAGAGGCTGATGGTAAGTGGTTTAATACTATTCTCTCTACAGCCTATAGGAGTTGCATGGGGAGGTACATCCCTATCACTGCACAGCAGAGGGATTTCTCCTTGCCTAGTGGCTGTCATACAGGTTTTGGATCTATACTTCCTCCCTAGCCTGGGAATGTAGGAACTCAGTCCTATCCTCAGAGAGTCAGTATGAACTGCAGAGCTCACAGAGAAGGTTACATTCTCATGTATGCTCAGACAATTTCTGTAGTAGGAGACTTACATTGGATGCCATTGGCAGTGGACACAGAAGAAACTGCCTTGCTATGCACAGATCTCAAAAGGTAGTTTAAATGTTAAGGTGAAGCACTAAGGCAACTCTTTGGAGAGTCTTAGTAAGTCATGCTGAGAAGTCAAAGGTTTGCCAAGTGATGTTAGCTTACTGAAAAAAATTACTTTGCACGCAGCATTGTAAAACAGAACAGAAATTGTCCTTGTGGCATGCATGTAAACCTCCCTTTCTACAGTTGACCTATATGAGACAAATCAGATGCATGTCTCAACAATTAATACCTTGTTTTTAGAAGTGGCTTCACTTATTGGCATGCCAGGATATATTTTGTGACCCTTATGAAAGTTTCTTAATCTGTCTATCAACCCTTAGGAAAAAAAGCAGAGATAATGTTTCCACTCTGCTCTACCACGTTTGTGCTGTAAAGGTCTTTGTGAAAGGGACTGCTCATTGCCATGGCTTTACCTACCTGAGTCCTTTAACCATTATTGTGAATTTACATACAGGGAACCTCTGTCATTTCCTATTGTAGTTTTTCTCTATATAGAGTAGACTTGTCGGAGTGTGGATTTTTTCTACTTACTTTTTGAAATAGCTAGTAGTAGGATCCAGGAATCTGAATCACAGAAACTCCCACCAACAGCACTGGAAGAAATGTCATAGCATTGAATTTGACCTGTGCATGCCTATATCAGCATTGTATCTGGGAAAGTTACACTAAGGTCTTGCAAGGAAATCTGCCTAAAGAAATAATAGAAAGGTTGGTACTAGAAACAAGGTACCCTAACCACTGTAGCTTTGTATTCATGAGGTAGCCTCCAAGAAATAGAAAATTGGATAAGAATGTCTGTCAAGAGGTTAAGCCTATAAACTGCATCACATTAATGGCTGTGGCATCTGAACCTTCTGTCTTTCTCTGCACATGACGCAGGTAGTGAAGGACCAAAGCCTGATGAGCAGCACCCATTACCTTCCTACCTGGAGTACAAACACAACGACTCTATACGCATCTACCAGACAAATTATTTTGCCAGTAGATGTGCTGAAAATCCTGACAGCGACTATAAAAGCTTTGACATTAAGCTTGGAGGAGAAATGGAAAATCTGGGAGGAAAGTGTGATCCAGACCACCACAAATTCTGTGACGGACCTCTAAAGCCTCGAACTGCTTATAGGTTAGATTTACGTTGGTAGCTGTGCTCTGTCACATTATTAGGCATGGTGCTGTCTGGGTGCCTTATCCATTTGAGCTTCTGTAGATTAGTAATTGGATTGTACAGTGTTCTTTGTGTTTCACTGTAGATTTATAAAAGCTTTATCTGTGTGCCCGTTCCATAGGTAACAACCAGTTTTTCGCTAGTTTGGAAATGATATGATTAATTATGCACAAAACTCCGTGCAGTGAATAGGTTTATTTATGTACCTCAACTCGATGGGAAGCTCTCTTATAGCTGCTAAGTATTTCTTTGGAAAGACTTAAGACCATCTGCTAAGTCAGAGTAGTACTTAACAGGAGAAGGCAAGTATGCTTCTCTCAGCCTGTACGCCAGCACTACCCCACACCTTTGGAACAAGCTAGAAAAACTTGGAGGTTATTCTATCCTGTGGTACCATCCCTAGGCTCCAGAGCTAGGCCCAGGTTAGCCGTAGGTTGTAGAAGAGCGTGACTGCCAAGACCAGGCTCAGCAGTTACACAGGCTGCGAGACCAAACATGAGCTCCACTGTGGTTCAGCCATGCCCTTACCACAGGGGGCATACTCTCCCAAGAGGTCTGCAATCTTCTCACTGAAAAGGCACATGGACAGAAGGCATGTGCCAAGGAGTGCACATCATGCCTCTTAGCTTCTTCATCAAGACAGTGCTACCCTACTATAGTCTGCTCTCATTAGGGCACATTTCCCAAAAATTCAGTCCGGGAAATACCTACATTACGCAGAGAACCAAGAGGACTATAGCAAATCTCCATTAGCACAGCCATGCCCAACCAAGCCAAGGGAAAACATGTCCCCACCAAGAAGCATTTCTGAGTCCTCTGCCCTCTGCAGCTTCTGCTTGTCCTGCCTTCAGGCATGGGTAGGCTGTGTGTGCCAGCTGCCAGAGCCCATCTGTTACCTCTGCCAGGGTACCTCAAAGCCCTCCACCTGTACTAGCTGAGCTCCCCAATATTTAACTCAGGGATCAGTATGATTAATTAAGTAGAATACTGATTAATTAGTATTTAACTCAGGTGCCTGTATTAAGAATTGTCTGTGGGGGTGGAAAGATTTTAATTATCTCTAAGGGGCAAATAAGTTCTTAATTGTTTCCTGTTGGTTCTGAACATCTTGTGAGCCATAACTGTAACCATACTGCTTTTTTAGGATCAGCATACGGGCTTTTACCCAGCTTTTCAGTGAAGACCCGCAGGAACTCCCTAAACCGCTCTTTGCGGACACCTTCTTCTCTTTACCCATCACTACAGAGGCAGGTTAGTTTCAGGCTTATCAGTGACTGTACCATGTGATTATATATTGTGCCTAAGAACAATCTGGTATCTAGAGCTATTTGTAAGGAGTGGAACAAAAATGGATTGCTGTGCATGTCCTGAAGGCTGCTCTAAGGTGAGCCTGGAGCCATGTTTTATCTGGCCTCTGTTGAAAATTCGGAGGACTGCTTGCAGAGCTGCTGGCAGCAGAGAAAAGGATAAATGCTCAGTGAATTATAACCAAGAAAGCTTCAAAGTACAAAAGAACCAAACTCCCATAAAATGGGGTTGTGCTTTCTTTTACTGTGTTTGGGAGTGAAAAATTTTGTGTAATATTTGGAAAAAATAAGAACAGAAAATCAAGGCCAGGTTTAAGTAAGTGTTTAAGTGCCTTACACTTCCTCCTATTTAGCCATTTTCTTTAGCTGATAATAACAGATCCCTTGAGAGTTATTGATTCTCCAAGTCTTCTGATCTTTTCCTCAAGTTATATTAGTACACTGTTTTGTTTCTAGAGCCTCTGTTTGGAGTTATTGAAGGTGTGAGTGCTGGCTTGTTTCTGATTGTGATGTTGGTGGCTGTTACTGCTTTATTTGTCTGCAGACAAAAAGTTGGGTAAGTTGACTCCCTTTATCAGTCTCTGTTACTGAAGTAATGTCAATTTATATTTATTTAAGTAATACAGTATGTAAAGTGTAACTGTAAAATTGGAGGAATGCACAGAACCATTCAACAGACAAAATCTGTGTCCCGCAACATCTGTGCACACTAAGTGTAGAACTTACATAGTAAGAAATATGTATGTTTTTTATTCAAATGATGTCATAATTATGTCATAGAGGATTCTTGTAACTTAGTTTTCAATAGAAGTCTGAATATATCTGAAAAATTGGTTTATCATTCAAACTGAATGTCTTTTGTTTCCAATTAATTGCATCTGCATTGTAGATGAAAACCTATTGAAACTGTTCATTTAGATATTATCATTTCAATTCAGAAATATTGTGTGGCATTTACCTCAGTGTCCAAAAGATTAGTTTAAACTTTACTTCTCATTTTTTGTCAATTATAGTTGTGTATTTTAGATTTTAGATGAATCCTAAATAGTGAACTTTAAATAGTTCATATTTTAAATACGTTTTTAAAAAGTGAAATACTCTATCTTAACTTTGAAAAAAGCTTTATCCATTTAAATAATTTTACATGACTGAGACATGTGAAATTCCTAATGGTTTCTGAAATTTTAAAAAACCCCTCAACATTTCCATTACAAGGGAAACAGTGAAAATCTAAAATTCAGTTCTTTTACTGATACTAAATGAGGTCTGTATTTTTTTGAATTTGCTTTTCATGTGCCAGAATTTCAGATTGAAAGAAGACTGTTTTCTGACTAGTCATAGCTTTTAGCCAAATCAGATAAACTTTGTATAGAATTTGGTTTCTCGTTGTAAGTCATATAGCCAGCAGGGTGGCAATTACACCAGTATGGTTTTCCCACATCATACATAAGGAGCAAGTGTTCTCTAAGGGAGAAGTTCTCTAAGTCTTCAGGAGATGGCAGGAAAAGGATGAAAGGCATCACTAACTGTATGGAGTAAGTACCACTTCCATGGCTTTCCCAAAGCCTGCTGTGGTTCTGCCACTTGCTCCTGCTATGAACCTGGGCATCTGCTGGCATGTTCTGCAGAGTGCCTGCTGTAGGCCTTTTACAAAATACAAAAATACAAAAAAACTCTGTGCCCCAGCTAAGAGCAGTGTCACATGATCAGAACCACAAATCAAAACATACTTTCTTAAATTCCTTTTTTTCCAATTTACTCTTTTCCAATATAAGTTATGTTATTGCCAACTCTTCCCAGTATCAGAACAGGTATAACAGAATGCTTTCCTTTTTATCCAGCAATGGCCATGAGAGATCTACAGCAAGGCTGAGCATGCGCAGAGACAGGCCACTGGCAGTCCATCTGAACCTGGGGCAAAAAGGGTAAAATAAAATTTATTTTTTTAATACGGCACTGGGGTTGAACAGATCCATCTGGTCACTCACTGATGAATTGTTTCTTTTTCTTTTGAAATCATTTCTAGGAACCGGAAAACTTCCAGGTAAAAAGATAAAAATAATACCTAAAAAAACTTCTTGGTAACCAACTGTATAAATTGTGACTGTGATTCATCCTGTGATTTTCTTCCTCCTGTTGAATATTTTAGTCCGATCAAAGTCAGTCACTTTGAAGCACACTTCACCAAACTTCAAGCAGACTCCAACTACCTTCTGTCCAAGGAGTATGAGGTGGGATCCTAACCTAGGCAAAGGACTTGCTTTATGAAGGGGCGGGCTGGCTGAATCAGCAGGTTAATGCATTAGGAAGGCCTTCATTTATCTTATTCACACAAATCCAAATAAATTGGAGTATTTCAGCTGAACTCCCCTTGTCCAAGTGCAGAAACCAGCTCTTCATTGGCATAGCATCTTCTGGTTGGCAGCCTCTGTCTGATACCTATCTGGCTGAGATCAGATTTGCATGGCAACATATGTGTAATACACCATGGAAATTGCCTGCCAGCCATGTACTTGGTTTAAAACAATATGATTACCTATGTAGTTTCAGTTTGTTTTTTAAAAAAACAACCACTCTCTGTCATGGCCTTTGAGAGTTGATAAGCACTGTTTCCCCCTGTGTTGTCACGTCCTTGGATTATTTTCACCTCGCATTTTATTCTTTTTCTTTTTTTTCAGGACTTGAAAGATGTGGGTCGAAACCAGACATGTGACATAGCACTTCTGCCAGAGAACAGAGGGAAAAATCGATACAATAATATATTGCCCTGTGAGTTTTAGGTTTGGTTGTGCAATATTGCATCACACTAGCTATTTTTCACTTTGTTTCAGCAAGTCTAGTGGAAAAGAGAGTGCAGCCAATCCCTTCTCTCCTTCCTGTCAGAGATGAAATATCTCTGCCAGCTCAGGTTCTGGTGGTTGGAGGCAGATGATGCATAGCCCTGAATGGCTTCATACAGACCAGTAATTTAGTTTCACACTGGAGGTGTAATGACTAGCATTCAGCCTAGGGAGAAAAAGCTCGAGCTATTAGGGGCATTCAGTCACTGCTGGTAACAAGGATAATAGAAATAACAGTAGGGTTGTTTACATATGGGGTATCATCCATTCAGTGATCTTTGACAGCCTTGCCAAATCTTTGTTCTTCAGAGTACATAGCAAACCTCCAGTACAGTGTAGAGCTAGTGTGATTCTGCATGGTGAGACACATGTGTGAGGTTAACCCTGTTCTCCCAAGGCAAGATCTAGACCTGTCTGTCATTGAGAGTTTCACCCTTTAATCTCCTACATGGCACTTTTGGAGGTAAAACATTAAGGAAGAACACCACGTGACTCACTGCTCCACATCCCCACTAATGGATGTGGTATGTGCTTGCAGCACAGCCTCACAGCATCCCCTGTTCTACCTGCCTTGCCAGGCTGGGCAGCAGGCTTGCCTTGTACAAGAAATGACACCTGACTGAAATCCAAGGTGGCATTATCTCATGAATCAGTGACCCGGTGGCTTAGACACTCTGTATCTCTGTACAGAAGGCTGTTTACCTAGGGAAGATGTTTGGCCTGCCCCACATGTTAGCTCGGAAGACTGCTAAAGCACAACTGTTCTTTCAAGGACAGAGCTGGGCACTGCTTTTCAGTACAGCACACTGGTGTTAGGATCAAAGGGGAATGCTATTGTGGCCCTTTTGTTGTCATAACAAATCTTGTGCAGCTCAACAGAGGAAATTTTGGATATTTACTGCTTCCTTCTTACCCAGCCATCTCCTAGTCTTTGGAACACTCCACAGCACACGTGAATGAAAGAGGCAGTAAAAATAAAAACAGTTATTCCCTTTAAATTAGCTCTTCATATAAAATCTTGTAAGAGTACTGCCAGTCCTTTCAGAAATGCATTTTTGTGAGTGAGAGGGGGACTGAAGATCAAGACCTAGCCCTAAGCTACTTGTTATCAATTTCTTCCTAGATGATACATCAAGAGTGAAGCTATCCAATGTGGATGATGACCCTTGCTCAGACTACATTAATGCGAGCTACATACCAGTAAGTGACTCAAGGGCGGGGTTTTACAGTCCTCCGTTCAGCGGTAATTTGTCTTTAATCTAAAACTGAATATAAAGCTTGATAGTTAGGGCTCCTCTCCCTCTTCATTGACTCACTTGAGCTAGAAATCTGAGAACTTATTTTGTGGGTGTGCTGAAAGACTCTGTCTGACTGCCATTAAATTAACTATGAGTGATTTACCCAGCACTTAAGGGCACTTTCTTGGATTGCTATAGTTATGTAAGATAGCAAGTCAAATTGGCCAAGGACACATTTTTAAAGGTCGCTGATTTTATACAGTGTCAACTGTAGCTATCACTGCAGGTGGCATCCTCATTGTGGAGCTGTAGCTCATCCTGACAGCGTTGGCACCTTGCAGGGTGGCGAAACTGGCTGAAATTAAAATAATGCCCTTTTACGGAGAGTTATGATTGATAATAACAGTGGCTTTGGCAATCCAGATTTCAAGTCAGAACTCAGCTAATTTATTAAAAATGGTAAATAAAGCAAAAGCTCCTTGCAGTTTCAAAGTTGCTTGAGACTATGCTGAGCACAATAGAAAAATAAAAAGCTTTGACTGCCACAAAAGGAACAGTATTGTAGATATACTGCTAGAGTCTCTTCCTTCTCTCAGTTCCAACCAATCATTTGCCTCCAAGTCCAAGGCAAAAATTTAGTTCTCAAAACTATTGTCCCAGCAAAGACGTTGCTCCTGCAGAGCTCTGGCTGCAACCCTATGGCTTGTTCAACTGCTAGAAGATATTTTTTTCTGCCTTTTTGGAAACTAATGGAGTTCTCTTTATTTGCAGGGCAATAATTTCCGCAGGGAATACATAGCAACTCAGGGCCCTTTGCCTGGCACCAAAGATGAGTTCTGGAAGATGGCATGGGAGCAAAATGTTCACAATATTGTCATGGTAACCCAGTGTGTTGAGAAGGGCCGGGTGAGCAGTGACTCTTCTTTATTATTAATCACTGTTTAAACATCTATTAAAAGTTTTTGCTTAGTATTTGCATCACACTAATGCCAAAAAGGGCCCAGCTGAGGACATATACAGTAAGAGATAAGAGGTATAATATAAAGACTGGAGACAGATTAGGGCTGGGAAGCGAGGATGCAGAGACTATCCCAAGATCATGCAGCATGTCAAAGTTAGGAGATAGGAACAGAGCTCATTGCTTCTGGTCTCTAGTCCAGGACTTTGTCCTCTAACACTAATACAATTCCCTTAAGCATGCAGAAGGACAACCACCACCAAGACATGCTTGTTGATCCACATCAACTCTGATCAACTTCTACTTCAAAAATAAGCTCTGGAGAGCAAATGTTGATCGGTAAATAGATCAAATTATATATAAGCCCTGATGTAGCTAGCAAAGAGACTAGTCAAGCACTTCACACTCCTACTGAGTGCAAGTGGAGCATACCTCCCCAGCTATGACCATGTTCTACCTTCTTTGTAAGGCAGGGAATAGGTCTGTAAGAAGATTGAACAAACTTGAAGTAATGATCACCTAGTGGCACATATAGGGTCAGTTCCTTTCAGTTTACCATTTTATCCTGAGGAGAGGGTGAAAGCCAATGCAGAATAGTACCTGTGTCCTTTTGCACCTCACTGACTCCAAGTGGGACCCTGCAGTCATATCTCAGCAAGAGGTGAGGAAGCGGGCACTGGTATTGACCTCTCATGTAAGCAGAGACCTGAGAAGAGTTCATGTGGAAAATGTGCCCCAGAAGAGGGCATCAGTGAAGTGCTTCGCATTCCCCCCATCACATACATCAGTCATGAGAACTTCCCACGCTAGTACTTCCTGTGCTAGTCCATTCCCGTCCTAGGCACTGTTTGTTGACATGGCAGGGAGTGGCATCTCTCTCTGAATTCAGCTTTGTTCCTTCCTCCTCAGACATAGGAGGTGTGAAGTTTGCTTCTGCTAGTGCTGAACAGAGGCATTGTTTACAGCTGTTTCTAACACTGAGTCTGTCTTTGTCTGTGTCCCTGCAGGTAAAGTGTGATCACTACTGGCCCCTCGATCAGGATTCCTTGTACTATGGAGACCTGATTGTTGAGATGTTGTCTGAATCAGTGCTCCCAGAATGGACAATACGAGAGTTCAAAATCTGCAGTGTATGTTTGCATTCTTTTTTTTTCCTAATGAAATGGCTTAAAACATCTGCAAGGCTAAATTAGGAAGTATAAATTCCATCTGCTGTAGCACAGTTGCATCATGCCCAGCTCACCTCTGATGGCAGCTATAGCATTTGCTCTGAAGGTGCATGTTGTATGTGTCTCTTCCTCTCTGGTCCTGATGACCCACACATTTGAATCCCAACAGGAAGAGCAGCTTGACTCAACAAGGCTCATTCGACACTTCCACTACACTGTATGGCCAGATCATGGTGTGCCAGAGACCACCCAATCCCTGATTCAGTTTGTCAGAACTGTAAGAGATTATATCAACAGGACCCCAGACACAGGACCAACTATTGTACACTGCAGGTATGTGCAGCAGCAAAAGGTCGGTGGCACAGAGCTCTTGAGCATACCCTTGGAAAGTTCCCGGATGTTCATCCCTGTTAGACCTTGGGCAGCCACAGAACATAAGAGATAGCTGATGAGCTTAAGTCTCCGGATATATCAGAGCACTATTTCCAAGGCACATGCACTAACCCACAGCCTTACCTTGGAGATGCCTTGAAAATTATTCTTAAGGAACCACCATGTCTCTGTGGGACCACTGGAGAGAGCTATAGGTGCCAGCAGCTGCCACTGCTCATAAGCTTTTGCATTCTTATATTGCCCACGTGCTGCTCTTGTGGCCCAACATTTGAATCACTAAGGAGTGCTCTAAAAAGGTAAGATATACCTGGAGTGAATCTGACTACATGTGGATGTTGAAACCAGATGACAGATCCATCCTTTCCCCCATTCTGACTGAGACTCCCTCTCTTTACTGCCTTTTCATGCTGTTCTGCTCTTTTGCCATCTCTAGCAGTCATAGGGCTGCAGTGTTTCCTCTGATCTGTAGTCCACCCCTACACATGTATACAAAAAAGACAAAACTGGACTGCCTGATCTGTAATCCACTGGCCAGTTGCAGCAAACTAGGGTTACAGAGAGAGAAAGAGTGAGTGCAGTGTGGTTTTGCATCCTCTGATAAAGCCGTAGGTTCACTGGTACCATCTGATTGTAGTATCTGACCCCTCCACACATTATATGGGCTGAGGGATGTATTGTACATGATCCCCACCTGTACAGCATGTGCTGCAGCATGTCAGATTTACACTGTTATCAGCAAGTCAGCTTTCCTCTTTCCAACCTCCTGCCTCCAGAGCCCACCTCCCAGCAGTTCAGCTACTGGGGACTCTGATACTTATCCTCACTTTGCCCTTCCACAAGGCAATGGCCAACAGATCTTTTAGAAACAAGACCACAGCTGTATCCCTGGAGGGAAGAAGTTTAAAAACTCTGACAAGAGTCAGACGCAGTCTTTCAGTGTATCTCAGTGATTGAGTTAGTCCAAAGCAGAGAGCAGTGCAGGCAGTAGGAGAGGTACCTCTACCATCACTATCCTTTCCTCCTTCCTGAGTAAATTCCACTATGAAGTGTTATAAAGTCCCAGAGGTGCCATTTGAACAATTTACTTCTCACTCTGGAGATCTGAACTTTACAAAAGTATCATATGAAGATATTGAATGCTTTTATCCATCTACTTTTCAGTCTTTTGGGTTGTTTTCTTTTCCAGTGCTGGTGTTGGCAGGACTGGCACATTCATTGCACTGGACCGAATTCTGCAACAGCTGGATTCAAAGGACACTGTTGACATTTATGCAGCAGTACATGACCTAAGGCTTCACCGTGTTCACATGGTTCAGACAGAGGTAAGTTTTGGATAGCCTTCTATGCAGCAACACCAGCTACAGTATCTAATAATCAGTCATCATAAAGGCTTTCAAAGCACTTTGCACTTACTCCACTGTGAAATACTACTTAGATGTATTTTAGCTCTGTGAGAATTTCTAGTTCAGGGCTTTTTCCATTGGCTCTCATACAGTGGGTCCAAATCATAACAAGTGAGGACCAAGTATAACAAGCTATGCTTCCTCTAGATTCTCTTTTTTTTTTTTTTAATGCTGGCCCACAGTTGTCGCAGTGGCATTATGCAGCAGAAGCATAACAGCACATTGTTGCTTTACAGCAGTGTCCAGTAAATGATCTTTGAGGAGAGATAGGTTCTTCATCGATGGATCTAGAAGCCAAGCCTAAACCAGACAGATAGGTTGATGTAATGGGGAAAAGAAATGGAGGACAGAGAAAATTAGAATTTTAAAACTCTAGGCACTGTGACTTTGTGGTTTTGCAGTTTATTTTTTATTGAGCTGCTCTGTCAGTTAAAATGGTATTGGAAAGTTGATTGGCATTCTCCTAACATACTATGTGAAAGCAAGTACATTTATTCTCAAAGTGCAAAAAAGGTAAATGTTTGGTATTTCCTTCTGTGCTTTTAAAACTGAAAGAAAATCATATTACACTAATACCAGCTAAATGCTTAGACTGATTTAGTAAAGGCAAGTTGTGGAGGCAAGTCTTTATGTTTTCCTGAAACATTAATAGAAGAATCAGAACAATTTTCGTGGGTCTGCCTGTAGCTTGATACTAATAAAGCTCTTTTCTGCAATTTGGAAATAAAAATGTCAGTGACAGTGTTTTCTGATAATGTAAATGTTTCATATGGGTATAAAGAGAGGCCCAACTGGAAAAACACAAAAAGAGGGATTCCTGGAAATACCTTAATCACAGAAGACCTTCGTTGGAGGGGAGACAGATTCTCAGCCTGGTCTGGGCTCAGAGACAGATCCATATCACCTTCTACATTTCCATCATCCGTAGTCTGCAGAGGTGGACAGGCATCTCAAGAGGCTGGCTCTTTTTCCCTAGATGGAAAAAGGAGGCAAGTACCTCAAGAGCCTAAATTTGACATCAGACTTAGAGACAACTAAAGTTGTGTGATACAAAGACTACGTTTGGTATGAGCTTGAAATGATGTCTAAGGCAGCCAGACCCACACAAAATATCTACAGCAACAGTGAGGAGCTGAGCCTTCCCACTACCAGCACTACATGCCCTTCTGCCCCAAACCATCTGTGACTCAAATTGAACCCAGATCCCTGTGGTGACCAGTCATGCCCCTGGAAGAATTAGCAATCAGCGCCCCAGAGACAGACTGATAGAAAACTTTTGCAGCTCACACGTACTTTCCCTACTTGAGCTGTAACATGTTTGTAGACCATGTAGTTGTGTCAGTGTGCAGTCACTGAGCTGCTGTATTCTCAGCAAGTCTTATTAATAGGAACTCTCAGTTGCATCCTGTATATGGTTTTTGACTCAGAACTGTGTTTCATCAAGGTGGCTTGGAGCACAAGCAATACAGTCTCCCATCCTCCTGCAAAACAAATGAAGTAAATTTATCCTTGAGTTTTATGATGATTCAGAATTTGCAATGAGCAGTGAATTATCTTTTAAGAAACAGTAAAGGAGGTGGGGAAGAACAAATCTGCTCCACAAACTCCACTTGATGTGTGTGAAGACCCTAGTTCCTGGAGTCCCTATCTAGGCTTCCACAATCTGTTTAGAGGTTGGAATAAAAGATAGTTTCCCTTCTGTCAATACAGTAAAAGCCAAAGCCCGCTGTGGAGCACAGGCCAGCAGACAGTACTGTTTGCAATGAGATGCTCCAGCCAAAGCTCACAGCACCATCACACTTGGCGTTATTCAGCCATAGAAAAACAGTAACAACAAAACAATACCCCTGCTTCAGACTTGGCTGAAAGCTGTTTAAGACAAGAGACTGCAGCTGGAGACATGCAAGGAGTAACAGAACACTGTGTGCATCAGCTTAAAAGGCAGTGTTCTCAGCACAGTAGCTGTAACACAGACCATTTCAGTCGCGAATGGTCTCTGTCAAAGGTAGTCTCCATGCCTTGGACAACTTTCTGTCGTGTTGTTGGGTGGGATGCAGGGCTCTTCTCCACAGAGACAGCAGCTGTACATGCGTAAAAGCAAATATCCTCATTTCCCCAAAGCCGGAGCACTGAGAAAATGGCACAGAGCAGTGGCTGAATTTCTTGTGGAAAATAAGTAAAGAAGATATGAGAGGAGAAAATGTGTATAATTACTGGAGAAATTATGTTATTAATATGTAAAGATGCTCGGCCTAACTATGGGTACCATGTTACACTAATCATAAACCACAAAAAATAGCAGAGCCTGGGAGTTTACCAATGTATTCTATTAAGTGGTTTGATGAATAGTCAGTAGTCAATAATATTCTGACCCTCCTTACTTTGGTTGTGAATGTCATCTTAGTTCCTTCTATGAAAGGCACTCTTCAGAAAAGTCATTTGCTACATAGTCAGAAGCAATCTTATATTTAAAAAATACTGATTTTTCCTGAAAATTTGGGTTTGTCAAAGTTCTCTGAAATATTTATATATTATGATAAAATTCTGTGGAAAATATGTCTTTTCAGAACAAGAAAACACAGGAAATTGTTTGTCTTTTCTGCTTGCTTCCCTGTACATATTAATTCTTTTACACATATGTTATATCAAAGCGTTCGAAAGTAGTAGCTATCCAACACAGCAACATGTCAAGTTATGCTTTGCAGTTGCTAGAGCTTTCACTCATGGCATGATCTATCAAAACTTATTGTGTTCCTTTATGTTTTACTGGTATTATTTCTAAAAACAGGTGATCACAGAAGTTTACTATATTACTAGTGTGAAAAGCAGATTAATTTTAGAAGTATATTTTCATTTTTAACACCACCATTGATTTTGTGTGAGGGAGTTAACTTGTAATGATTTTTCACAATACAGAAAATTAAATCACAAAATTTCTCAGAGTGCCTTAAAAACAAATCTTTTGCAGTGTCAGTATGTGTATTTACATCAATGTGTGAGAGATGTGTTAAGAGCCAGAAAACTTCGCAGCGAACAAGAAAATCCCTTATTTCCAATATATGAAAATGTGAATCCAGAGTATCACAGAGGTAACTTCAACTTTATCAAATTGTAAAATGTTTCAAATGTAATTGAAGGACAACTGTGTTATCCCTTACCACTGATGTTTGTTCTCTTCCTGGGCCTTCATTTCTTCACTCCTCTGCTCTTGTCACTCTTGCAGTTGTGTCTTTATTTCCTTCATTATTAGTCATTATAAAATCACTTCCTGCTCCTACCTTACCCTGTCTCATACTTCATGATTCCTATGCTGTTGGGGGACCCCTTTCCTATCAGGATATTGGCTTTTACCTCACCAGTCTTCACACCATCCACCCTTAAGCATGCTGAGGCCACTGGCTGTGCTCACTGGGCTCTTCTGTCCTTCATGGAGTTTGATTTCTGTCCTGCATTCCCCTCATTTGCTGTTGACTATATAGGCAGCCCTAGGAGACTTCCCATCTACCTTGACTGGAAAATGTAGATATTGTAGGCTGTGCTCTTTCTTTCCCCACAAACTCCCCATTCTCACAGGCTCTTTTTCCTATCCTGTATCCAGTCCCTCACTGATCAGAGATGCTGGAGTAGCAAACCTGGCACTGGCACTGCCCTTCACCTCCTGTTCCCATGGCCAGATGGCTGGTTTGAAGAAGCTGTAAGCAGAGGTGGTCTGTGTGCCTTGGTAGAACTGATTCTAAGAGTCTGTAGAAATTTTTAGGATCAGACAGCAGGATCAGTAGCTCCACAAATTTGGACATTAGGAACTGAGATTATATAATGAGAGATCAAAAAAATTGTCTTGATCTAGCCTGTAGAAATCAGAGTTGTCATCAACAGGCAGAACAGGCTTGGAGAAGGCCAATGACTGAAATAGCCAGGATTCCACAAGTTGAGAGTCCTAGCAAAAGCAAAGGTGGGATTTGCTCTTTGCTGTCACGTCAGTCACCAGCCAGCACTGCTGCCACACAAGCTCCTCTCAGAGCACTGTAGTCAGCTGGCAGAGTTGAACATGAACATGAAGCCACCTGTGTTGTTTTCCTTTTTCTAATATCAGTTTTCTTTGCTTTCAGATGCTGTTTATTCAAGGCACTAAGAATGTTAGAGATATCTGCTTTTGTGACCACACTTGATGACTTGGGGGTTTGTTTGGGGTTTTTTGTGTTTGTATTTCATGCACCAGAAAGGTGCCAGACCTTTCTACTGAGACTGTGTATAATTTATTGGTCTGGTGATTTTTTAAAAAGATATATAATTTAACTATAATAGGTATTAATGTATATAATTGTATTTTGGCATTATGTAAATATGTATTTTTTCTATATTGTTTATATTAATATTATGCTTCAGATAATACTATTTTTTCTTATCACAGTTTTTATAAACTGTTCTACATAAACTATTTTAAATTCAATGGCTAACAGGATTGCTGCATCTGGGGTCGTATTAGCATGACACGGGAAAAATCCTTTAAGGAGAACCTCATTTTTTTAACTAGTTCAGTGTTTGTGAGATGAAATAAGCTACCATTAAGCAAGGGAACAGTAGTCCTGTATAGGAATTACAGTGCTACTCTACACTTCAAACTTACTGCTTTTCATCTGACAAAAATGGATATAACCCACAACACAATGGCATACCTTTTACAGAACTCAGTAACAACTGAGCAAAACAGGGTTCACCTCACCAGAAGCAACTGTTTCAGTCTAATGTGACATAGTAGAAAAATATTGAACAACATACACTGCCGTGAAGTTTAGCAGACCTGTCTCCCACCACATACTTTGAGGGGAGACAGATCACATTCTGGTTTCTTTACACTGGTTTAAGAGAGCAGAATCAGACAACAATCTGTCTGTGCATTTTCATGTGTGAATAATTCTGTAATTAAGAAATTAATCATCTAATTAAGAAAGATGTTCAAAAAATGCCTCAGACATTTGTGTTAACAAACCTGTAAGGATGTGAAGTCTGACAACTTCCATAACTCATTAGAAACAATGCTGTACCATGAGAAATAAAAAAGCAGATAGATTGCAAACATATTGAAACAAAGATATATATATATATGCAACAATTAGCACACCTGGCCTTACGCTGCTTGCAGCATAGCTGCCTTGCCCCAAGTGTTGATCACCTTCAAATGCCAGTTGTTCTCACAATGTTTGGCCCCAGCATGTCTGCACAGAAAGAATCCTCCACATGAATGTTGCCTAATGCCCACCAACAGGGGCAGTGGGAATGGAAAAAAGCTCATCAGTAAGCCAGGGAATGTAGGCTGGCAGGGCAGTGCTAATCACAGAATCATCAAATGGTTTGGTTTGGAAGAGACTTTAAAGACCATCTAGTTCCAACGCCGCCTGTCCCAGGCAGGCACTCATTACTCAAAACATTTGCTGACTAGAAAGAAGTAGAAGAGCACTCAGCAGGTATCCTGCCCAGCCAAGTGGATTATGCACAGCCTCTGTACTCTGCAGAGGCTTCTCACTCAAGGGTATAAACACTGTCCAGTTATTCTTTGTCCTTATGAAGTGTTCTTCAATCAAATAGAGAAGAGGCAGTACATAGTTATTCTCCATCACTAGAAGAAGGAAGAGCTTCATAGTTCTTCTATCTATCCATACTTTCCTGAGAGAAAACTTAGTTACTGAAGACAATTGCCTAAATTCTGCTTCTGCTTTGGAGATAAGTAAATACTTCTGAAGGCCTTCTGAGAACCAGTCAGTGAGTGGCTAAGAGCCTAACTGAGGAATTGCTGTGGCCCTGAGCCATGTTACTTACTGGACCTGCACACTCCATGCTGTAGGAATATCTTCCTGACAGTGGCTGAAGAAATCTACCAGACAGCTCTGACATAGTTTTCTTAAGAAATCATTCCAAAGCAGAACCAGCAGGAATATGCACATCCATGTCTCTCTGGTCTTCTTAGAGAGAAGGAAACAGCCCGATAGTCAGTCTTCCTTCCTATTCCATCTGGAGTCTCATCCTTTCTTGACCAAATATCTTCATATGCCTTAGAAGCCACCCTTCATATCAGCTTTCACAGCTGCTCGAAACATGGAAGCTTGGTTAATCTTTTAGGTGTTTCTGCATGAAAATACTGCTCTTTCCTGGTTTACATCCTCTTTGGCACCACACAAACCTCAAAATCCAGCACCCTTAACTGAAACTGAAGAAGAAAGGAACTAAGCATTAGAGTGGAAGACATTTTCACAGAGGAAAATCTAAGCAAAACCACAAAGAAATGTTCAGAATCCTTCTTTTCTCTGTTTCCTTTGCTAGACTGACTAGGTTAGCAAACAAGGACAAACAAGCATGGCAGCTTTACATCGATTGTTGACCCTGCTAAAAACAGATGGACTTAAGGCATCATAAAAACTGCTGTTGTGTTACATGTGCTGCATTTAGTCCTTTCTTTTTGCAGGTGTAGCTGAGGAGCAAAGATCAGCATGTTACTTACCAGCACATGTTAATTACACTGTGAAGACATACCGAATGTACCCTATAAATTATCTCACACTATATATCACTATGTGATTTTTTTTTTCTAATGCTGAGGGAAATGGAACTCAGTAGCATATGATCTGAGAGCAAAAGTCTGATTGCACACTCTGTATGCATGTTGTTCATCATTTTCAGAAAGACACACATCATTCTGCTCTTTATTTTATCATTCTCAGCTCCTTGTCTGCACCTACAGAGTTCACAAATGTGTACCCTAAACAATAATGTCATAGCAGACAATTAATTTCATCTTTTCTCTCGGCTAATAATGGACACAGTTCATAAGGATCTTCCTCCTCATCACTTATTAACATGACAGATGACCTTAAGTGCTCTGGCAGAGTGCTCATGAGCAGCTTTACATCTCTGCCCAGCTAGGTCACACATAAGACAGTACATACACATTATTGCTCTGGTTCTGCTCTCTAGCCAATTCTACTCATATAAAACCAGTGTAAATCCAGTGAGAAAAAGTTAAAAGTATCTATGTAGCATTTATTAATATAAAACACCTACTTAGCAGTATAATTAATTATATTTGCTGTGCCTCTAAGCTGAATAACAGGACTGATGGGAAATTGTTAATGTGACAAGAACAGATTTGAAGGAGCCTGTGTACTGAACAGAGACAGGTCTTGAGGAAAAAGATATCTTTTGAATGTCTGTGAATGATGCTCAGAATTCCCTTCTTGATGTTTCTCAATAATAATGTTATAAAGCAAGGCTAGTGTTGTAGCTGATCCATAAGCTAAGATTTGCACACTTGGAGCCCAGTCCTGCGAATCTCTGCATTGACCACAAAGCTACCTGAGTACTTTCATGAAAGTCAACTGGAATGCTTGCCTGAAGAAAATGCCATTCCACTTCTGAAGCACTTTCAGGGTTGGGCTTTTAGGTTAACTCAAATTTTTGTATTGAAAGTTAAAGTTATTTAATAATGAAAAAAATTTAATAAATGGGTTTTTTAATCTGTGCAATACAATTACAAGATCCACTACCGAATGTAGAGAAAAAAATTATTTTACATATCTGGAGTTGATAAATGATATTTTTTGTTACTAATGGAACACAAAAGTGGGTGAGAGAAATAGGCATACTGTGAAGATGTCATAAAAGTGCAACTTTATACATTTTTCTCTGCTGCTATAGTTATTTAGCAATAAATAATGCCTAAAATTGCCAGAAATATTATTTTGTGCCATGATATACTATGAATTTCCTTTCAGTTGTAGAACAGAGAAAAGAAAATGTGTGAGTTTTAAGTTTGTATTATGTATTGTATATGGTTATTTACGCTTTAACTTTGAAACCAGAAGTTAAATACAAAACAGAGAGGAGTACATGAGCACTTAGCCAAGCTTCTCAGCCTGGGATTTAATATATGGGATAGAGGGATAAGAACAATAACCATCTAATCACTATATTAGCATCTCCTCCCAGGGCTGCAGATTGGAGAAATGCATCTGACATTCACATATACAGCGTCCTGCAGCCACAGCTTCATGACCAAGGAGTGGCATGGCAGGTGCTTAACATTTATTCAGATTTCTTTCCATACTTCAGACATACAGTTTGTGTGAATAAAATGCATTATAGGATGACCAGCACTCCCCTGATGGCCCTGTCATGTGATGTGTGGGCTCTGGAGCTGTGAGCTTTGGGACCTGTAGTTCCAGGGGCAACTCACTGCAGACCCTGTGCCCTCAACTGTCCCTCTCAGGCTGACAGGGTCAAACTCCTGACCTGTTGGTAGCACCACTATGGCCAAATTAAAAACCCACAATTTTGAAATGTGGCTAGCCATAAATTCTTTGTCAGTGCCTTGAGTAAAGTGTCTGAAAAATGTCTTCAGTACATATTCCATTCTCATATGCAATATAATTACTTATGATGACTTTCCTAACAAACACTGGGTGAACACAGAACTGTGCTACTATTGTCAATTTAATTTATGCATTTAAGTATATTTTTATATTTTTAGCTACAGTCAACAAATCAAATATATTTGAGTGTATTTTACACAATTTTATAAATAGTTCATGAATAAAACATTCAATTTTTTAAAATCACATTCTTGTCTTCTGTTTGACTGCCCTTGCATTATGGATTTTGTTGTCCTGCTGCTCAGAGAAAAGGTCATAAGTCAGTTTGATTTCAATTGAGATAGTCTTCAGAGAACATTAAATTCTTCAGAAGCCTCAGCTTGTTGGGGGGAAGGGGGCTCTGCTGTTGCCCACTGGCCATATTAGTGCCCATGTGGAAAGATACAATTGTTCCCTTCTCCTCCCTGGTTTTCCACCCTCCTCCTTTATTAAACCAGATACTGTCTGAGTTACGCAATGGATAATTGAAACCACAGTGGGTCTTGAATTTGAGTGCCTGTTATTTTAGAGTCATTTCACCAGGCAGTTGTACCAATTAGCACCACATTGGAGGTCCATCTCTGCCTACCACTCGAGGATCTGAACTATGGTTTTTAACAAAGGTATTTCTTCTTCTCCTGCCCTCCACAGTTCTTAAAAGCTGTTAACATTCTTGTGGGGCTAGGGTGCTTGGCAGTATGCTCTGTGTCTCAGTTACTCTTAATTGGTCATCAGAAGTGTTTAAGACAAGTTAATTCTGTTTATTTAAAAGAAAGAATGATTTATTGGCTTCTATTTTGTGCTATGAACTATTTGCTGAGGGGATATGTGAAGGCTGAGGGAATTGTTAGATTTTCAGTTTGTGATATAAAAGTTTGTCTCTGAGCTCTATTCTGTCCTGAAGCCAATGTAGACACAAAAGAGCAGTGATAATGATAAAATAATGTACAGTTAATATCTCCACGCAGGAGAAATAAGGCCACCATTACGGATAAGGATAGATATAAATGTTTTTACATGGTACAGCAAAGAAACTGAAACACACAGACTCTCTTCTAGTTCAGAAAGAACACAATAGGTGATTCCTGTTAAAATATCACCAGAATCTAGATTTTAACCTGCTGGCTCCTGCAGGGGCCTAACATCCTTTTTGTACCCAAGGTAGGTGGTTACTGTCATTTCCATCATGCGAAACCTCGCTGCAACAGGCAGCTTTGTGTGGGAGTAAGAGATGGTCCCAGCTCCTTGAGATCTGCAGTAGTAGTCAGCAGCACCAAGCAGGCATGGAGGCAGCACGGTCCAAGAGGGCAAAGCTTTTTGTAGACCTCAGAACCTTTAAGTCTCCAGGGAAAACATCATTTTAACACCCACAGGTTTGCTTTTGCAGAGGTCCTGGGCCCCTGGAAGAGGCTAAAGTCCCTTCTAATGGCTCTCACTGACCAGGCAGGGTGCCCACCATCATCACAGGGAGGGTCCACTCCAAGTATAGTTGCAGGGGCCCTCCCCACCCCTCCTTAATCAAATTCCCAACTGGAAAGGGTGGCAGAAGTATGTCCTAGCCCTCAGAGATGCTCCAGGTGGATGTACACAGCTTCAGGGTTTGAGGAGAGAGGAAACTGAGGCAGCCCAGCTGCAACTCAGCACTGGTCTGGTTCCTCCCTCCATGCTGAGTCCTTCCATCCCCGAGCTGGGGGCCGTGGCACAGGGCAGGGACTGCAGAGGCACAGGATGGGGACACACCAGCTCTTCCAGTGCCCCCATCCCGAGGCTTGCAGTGATCTGCACATTCCAGGGGGCCCAGGGCATGAGACCACTGTCAAGATCTGGGCCAAGAGGGCAACAACCGCAGCCTTGTGCAGCTGCCAAATGCCAGGCACCACGCATTGCTGGCAAGTGTTATGACGGCTGGGCCAGACACTTTTGTACACAGCCTTCTGCACGCTCGTGCCAGAATCTCTCCAGACTACATACCATGTCCTTGCTTGTCTTTGGTGGTGAAGTTTGCAGGCCTGCTGATGTGCCACACAAATAGCAGAGAGCAGCTGGAGCAGCTGCTTCTTGCCAAGGATAAATGCAGAGGTTTCCCATCCTCCCCACAGCCTGGTGGTGATGCCACACAACCTGTTTAGCAGGTGCCACCTGAGACCTGCAATTTGAGTCACCTCAGGGCAAGAAAGGGCCCCAAACCAGGTATTTCTGCCCTTATAAATCTTAACCCATTACTCAAGAAGAGGAACTCTTCTTTCTAAAGGACACAGCAGGCATAAAGGGCTGAGCTGAGTGAGCCCTCCTGGGGGTATGTGTCTCCCAGTAGCTTTGTTTCACAGGATGTATCTCAGGGATGCTTTTTCTCTCTATCCATCTTGGCTGTGCTGAGCAGTGCCCGCATGCATCCTCATGCATGGGTCCAAAACCTGGGCAGAAGAAAGCTGATGACTGGGCCAGTAAAAAATAAAATATACATAAAACCCCTTTAGTGGGTTATCAGGAGAATAAATTTGGCTTTGATCTGGTGCTTCCTTCTTGTCTCTAAGTCCTTGTCTCCACTTTTAGTGGAGCTGTAGCATTTCCATCAGCTCAGAAATGATTGCTTTGCCCCTGGGATGCGGGAACCAGGCACCAAGGTAGCACTGAGTTATACACACACAGTATACAGGCTGCACTCAAGAGACACTGTCCAAACCACTCCCTAATACTGGCTCCCTCCACCTCCTCAAAGGTGTGGTGATTGCCTCTGTCAACTCAGGTCTGAACTATCTTCTGGAGAAGCTCACTGACTGAGGAGAAAGAGCAAACACCAAGAATGTTTCTATCTGATTACACAGAAACATTTCCAGTGCAAATGTCTATCCAGGTTAATCGTCCCAGCCTGCCCTTATGACTGCTTATCAAGCAGCCAAAGGGGGTTGGAAGTACCATACCCCAGAGATATCAAAGACACAGAAAGTGTGTATATATATATATATATATACACACTCTACATATATATATAATACTAAGATGACTGCTTTTATATATATATATATATATTTATATAAAAGCAGTCATCTTAGTAGAGTTCTACAGTGCCTAATGTAGACATCCATGGATTAAATGAATTGGTTACTATTCCTGTACCCTGTTGCATTTGAGGATGGACTAGGAGTTGGGCATCTTCACCCTGCTCAGGGGAGGTGGTGCCCACCTCAGAGGTTTCAGATCCTTGCATCTCTGTGGGAACTGCTCTGTATTTTCAGAATAAAACTCTGAATTTAAGTTATGCCTTTTGGAGTCACACTCAGAGGTCTGTCACTGAACAAAAACCCAAGCCCAGTTCTTACACCAGTTCAGCTTCTTCCCCAGGACTGCAACTGGTGAGCACAAGAGATTTGCAGCTGAAGTGTCTCTATTAGTCATCAGCGTAGCAAAGTGTTGGGGGAAAATAGTGCCAGAGGTATCTTCAGAGAGGGAAGCATCCACACTGGGTGGTTCCACAGGACTAGATCCCTGCATCAGTCTGCGAGCATGAAGGAATCAGCACTGGTATCACACTGCTTTGCAAATTCTCCCTGTCCTTGGCAGTGACACACATATATGTCAATAGGAGTGGGAACATATTTCAAATCCATTTGTTTGCATTGCCATGTGATGCAAAATTAATAAATAATGGCCAGTCTTCGCGAGCGAAGATCCGGGGAAGGTCTTTCCACCTTCCAGCCTGCGCATTGGATTTTTTAGGTGAGACACAGTGTGCGCGGAACTGAGCCCACCCTTTAATCCTAAGGTTCATCTGCCGGGGCCAAGCGAGCTTGGACGGTGGCAGCGAGGTCCTCAGGACGTAGGTGGGTTGCCTTTTTAAGGGCTAACGAGCTCCACCTGCCCGGGAGTGGCCCTGACCGGGAATCGAACCCGGGTCTCGGCGGTGATAGCGCCGCGCCTTTACCACTAGACCACCAAAATTATGCAAATAATTTTCACTTTCGAAGCTTAATAATAGAAATTTTGAAAATTATGTGTTCCCACCGTAATCACCAGATCTCTCCCACTCCTGTTGGATACAGGGGATAAATGCATCTGGTTTATGCCCAGACCAGGTTTGAGGCTGTACCACAGGAAGAAGACCCTCCAGTTCTGTTTTCCATACCACAAAGACTAAAAAATCTTGAAATTTAAAAGAGATTAAGGGCATTATGGATAAGAACACCCAAACTTCCTGAAAAATCAAATACAGACCATATGGCATGTAGTAAAGCTACCCAAATAGATTTTGTGTGAATGGAGCTACACTGCAAAAACACAGAGTAAAAATAATTGGATGCAGAAAGCAAAGTGAAGGTGTTCAGAATGCTCCATGCAGCTTAGCTAGGGAAGAAAATGTTATGCAAACACATGACAGCTACAGAAAGGTCCATGTGCTAATTGGGGGCATTTCTTCTGCCTATCAATGACTAGCAGTAATGAAACCACTAGGAGAAAAAGACAGATACTTGCAAAGGCAATAAAGAGATAAAGAGGTATATGATGTCCAAAATATCAAACAGGTCAGAAAAGATATGCTCAAGACACTACCCATGATAAATGCCAGCATCCTGTTGTCTTATCACTGGATCTAAAAGACAACTTGAGCCAAATTATTTGTGAGAATCGAACTTCAAAAAAATGAACTGGCAGACAGCTGGAATTAATTAATGCCCAACAATTTTGTGTTAGGAAGGTTAGAGAGCACTAGAAATATCCAAGGAGCCGGTTTCTTTACACATCGCTCCAGTTAGATCTGGTCAGGCTGTGACAAACTTTCTATAAACATTCTGGTGAATAAACAACTCCCCCCAGCACCCTCCAGTAGTTCCCAGGGTAGCTAAAATCTTGCCTCTAAGATGCCAGAACTTTCAATGACAAAAATGGAGGAGGAAAAAGCAAAAGGAAGTGCTGGTCCTGGTTGTTAAACCAAGGCAGGTAAGAAAATTTCAGATCCTTGACTTGACGATGTTGTCCAGCATGAATTTCTGTTTCCTTTGCTGGGATTAGACCTGAATAACTTGTACTAAGTCCATTAGAGGAAAATGAGAAAAGACAGAAAATATTATGGGTGAACTTCTACTGCTCTTGTCTAGGGAAGATGCATCCATTTCAGTGGGGGAAAATGCACTTACATCCATGCTGGGATGGGAAGGCAGCTAGGAAGAAGGATAAAGCCACCAAAAGACCTCCACCAGCATTATGGTGACAT